GTTCATCCTGGGAAAGATGAGGTTGGGAGTGCAGAGCAATGGTGGTTTGCCCTCCTGGTATGGAGCACGAGGCTTTTGTCAAAGTGGCCTCAGTGGCCAAGTGTGTGTCCCCAAACCCCTCTGTGTGGGGATTTGGGGGACCCTTCTGTTCAGAGATGTCCGTGCTGCACAAGGGGCACCCTTTGGAGGGGGCTGGCACTGTCACAACGGAGTAAAAGCCATCGTTCTGGCTGGTGTCAGATGCCCTGGGGACACGTCATGGGGTGGGACATCCCTCAGTGCCACCACCTCTCACCACCTCCGCGGTTCCCTCGGCAGCATATCGCATCCCTGTTCCCAAACGACGTGGAGCGGCTGCGGAGGATGTCCCTGATCGAGGAGGGCGGCACCAAGAGGATCAACATGGCCCATCTGTGCATCGTGGGCTCGCACGCCGTCAACGGCGTGGCCAAGATCCACTCCGAGATCGTCAAGACTCAAGTGTGAGCACAGGGGGGTGGTGGTGATGGGTGCCCACAGCACCTCRGTGGGTGAGATTAGAGCTGTGCCATCTTCGCCCTCGCAGCTTCGAGGACTTTGCGGCGCTGGAGCCGGAGAAGTTCCAGAACAAGACCAACGGCATCACCCCGCGGCGCTGGCTCCTGCTCTGCAACCCGGGGCTGGCCGAGCTCATCGCGGAGGTACCGGCATGGGGGGGATGGGCTGCACCCACTGACCCTCCCCTGCTGAGCCTGGGGTGCCAGAGGGACCCCAATCATTCACATCTTGTAGATAATGGAGATGTGCAGCCCTAAATGGGGGATGTGGGGAGGATGGGGGAGTGCCCTAAAGGGAGGGTATTCTTCGGCTCTGCTCTGTTCAGCACCTGCAGTTTCCAGCTCTGGGGTCTCCAGCATCAGGAGGATGTGGAGTTGCTGGAACACGTCCAGAGGAGCCATGAAGATGCTCCCAGGGCTGGAGCCAGGCTGGGAGAGCTGGGGGTGCTCACCTGGAGAAGGGAAGGTTCTGGAGAGAACTCAGAGCCCYTTGCAGGGCCTAAAGGGGCTCCAGGAAAGCTGGAGAGGGACTGGGGACAAGGGATGGAGGGACAGGACAAGGAGGAATGGATGTTAACTGACAGAGAACAGGGTTAGATGGGATGTTGGAATTAAATTCTTGGCTATGAGGGTGGTGAGGCGCTGGCACAGGGTGCCCAGAGAAGCTGTGGCTGCCCCTGGATCCCTGGAAGTGTTCCAGGTTGGACAGGACTTGGAGCACCGTGGGATGGTGGAAGGAGTCCCTGCCCACAGCAGTGGGGGTTGGAACAGGATGATCTTTAAGATCCTTTCCCACCATCAGCACATGCCTGTGCTCCCATTGCAGAAAATCGGGGAAGACTACGTGCGGGACCTGAGCCAGCTGACCAAGCTGCACGAGTTTGTGGACGAYGACCTCTTCATCCGGGAGGTGGCCAAAGTGAAGCAGGTGAGGGGTGYGGGCAGGGGGAACACGGGCATTGGGAGCAGAGGGTGGGAGCTGACACGGACCCTGCCTGGCCCAGGAGAACAAGGTGAAGTTCGCGCTGTACCTGGAGAAGGAGTACAAGGTGAAGATCAACCCTTCCTCCATGTTCGACGTGCACGTCAAGAGGATCCACGAGTACAAGCGGCAGCTGATGAACTGCCTGCACATCATCACCATGTACAACCGTAAGCCACCACGCCCCGAGGGCACAGGCTGGCCCAGGGCTGCTGCAGSACCCCTGTGCCCCCCAGCCCATGGTAACACTGCTGCTTTCTGCAGGAATCAGGAGGGATCCCGCAAAGCTGTTCGTGCCGAGGACTGTGATCATTGGAGGCAAGGTCAGTTGGGTTGGGAGTTTTGGACAATTTTGGAGGAAATCCCTGGAAGTGCCCTGGGGGATGGGGGTGCAGATGTCTCATGGGGCTGCATCTCTAAATCTTCCTGACAGGGGATGGAGCCAGGTGGGAGTCTGTCTCTTCTGCCAAAAAACAGGAGACATGGCAGAGAAAACACCCTCAAACTGCACCAAAGGAGATTTAGATTGGATATTAGGAACAAAATCTTCATTAAAAGGATGGTCAGGCATTGGCACAGCTGCCCAAGGCAGTGGTGGAGTCCCCATTCCTGGAGGGATTTAAAAGCCCTGTGGATGTGGCACTTGGGGACACGGGTCAGTGGTGGCCTTGGCAGTGCTGGGGGAATGGTTGGACTCAATGATCTTAGAGGGCTTTTCCAACCTAAACAATTCCATCATTCTGTAGTTCTATATCCATGAAGTTCTCCAAAAAGCACTGGTGTAGCACTGGTTGGCTTCAACTCAAACAAGTTTGGGCACGGCTGTCTGTGGTCATGGAAGCCCCCAAACCTCATGGCAGTGTGACCCATGTTGGATGAGGTGACAGGAGCAGGGATGAGCAGGTTCTCCCCTGGTTCCTGTGGGAGCTGACTGTGCCTCACCCAGCCCTCCTGGCTCACCCGTGGCTTTTCTCACAGGCTGCCCCGGGATACCACATGGCTAAAATGATCATCAAACTCATTAATGCTGTGGCTCAGGTGGTGAACAACGACCCCATGGTGGGCAGCAAGCTGAAGGTCATCTTCCTGGAGAACTACAGGGTGTCCCTGGCAGAGAAAGGTACCCTGTGGGGAGGGRATGTCCCTCTGGCCCGTGACTGTTCACCGTGGTGTTTCAGCAGGAACCAAAGCCAGAGCTGGTCACCACGAACCCCTGGTTTGTGTTTTGTTGGCAGTGATCCCCGCAACCGACCTGTCGGAGCAGATCTCCACCGCGGGCACCGAGGCCTCGGGCACGGGCAACATGAAATTCATGCTCAACGGGGCTCTGACCATCGGCACCATGGATGGAGCCAACGTGGAGATGGCCGAGGAGGCSGGAGAGGAAAACCTCTTCATCTTYGGCATGAGGGTGGAGGATGTCACGGAGCTGGACAGGAAAGGGTGAGGGCTGGGGGTGCCACAGGGCTGCCACCACAGGGAGTGGCACCATCTCACACTCCTTTTTCCCTCCAGGTACAATGCCCAGCTCTACTACGACCGGCTCCCCGAGCTCAAACAGGCYGTGGACCAGATTAGGAGTGGCTTCTTCTCCCCAAAAGACCCCAACCTCTTYAACGACGTGGTCAACATGCTCTTCCACCATGACAGGTGAGACCTGGGCTGGGTCTGTCCTGGGGCCACACCAGGGCCTGGGATGCATTGCACATGGATTCTCCATCGATGGTCCTTGTCACAGTGACACCTTTGGGTGTGCAGCCCTTCCAGATGATTTTAGGCACCTCCAGGGCTTTCCTAGCCAGAGCACTGAGCACCCATGGATATTGGGATGGGAGAAATGWGTTCCCTGGGTATCCTCTGTGGTCATCCAGGGTTCTGTATGGGTTTGGGAGGGGAGATTTGGCTGCAGGGTTTGTGTTGGAGGATGCCTGTCAGAGAGTGGATTAGATCAAAGCCTGGAGACATTTTTGGGTGCTTGGGCCACCTGTGTGTGTGAGGGGTTGGGGTCAGGCCTTGATCCGGGTGAGGCAGCGCCCAGAGCCCTCAGCCTGGCAGAGCTGTCAATCACGGCACCTTGGCTGCTTCTCATTGGCYGAGCTGTCAATCAATCACACGAGGGGTGGCACTATTCATCCTCTGATTGGCTGAGCGACCAGAAGTCCCACCTGGGGGGCGGGACCATGGAAACCACGGGTATAAAAAGGGCTGAGGAAGGGTGGCCCTTTACAGACTTTCCCAGCTTTTTTGGAGCTTGTCTTGCCAGGGATTAGTGCCCATGTGTGTGATTTTCTTCACCTTTTCTTTCTTTCTCTCTCTTCATCTCTTAATCCCTTTTTCATTGAGCTTTTTGGATAAAATGACATCTTAAGGTTTTAGAAGTTTCTCAGTTATATAAGGCTAAGTAAATTCTAAATAAATGCTTCATACTAAATTAAAGCCCAGTAATGCTTATGTTAACTGGTTTATGTTAAATTCGTTGTGGTGCTTACTCCTTTTTCCAAGGTTTSCTTAATTTTCTCTATTTTTGCCAGTAAATTTTTGTGTGTTTTTCACTATCTGGTGGGGATAAAGGAGTGAAGGAACCTCGAGTTTAACCCCTGGATTGGGGTGTAACAACGCCCCAGATCAGGCACCTTCCCATTCCTCCTGACTCCTCCTTTCCTCGTTCCTACAGATTTAAAGTCTTTGCAGACTACGAGGCTTACGTCAAGTGCCAGGAGAAGGTCAGCGAGCTGTACCTGGTGAGTGCCAGCCTGGGGACAGGGGACAGGGCAGGGAGCTGTGCTGGGACCACACAGGGATGGGGTCCAGGGATAGGGTCCGGGGATGGGGGCACCCACGAGCATCACCCACCCCATTCCCCCCTCTCCCTGCAGAACTCCAAGGCCTGGACCAAGATGGTGATCAGGAACATCGCGGCGGCCGGCAAGTTCTCCAGCGACCGCACCATCAAGGAGTACGCGCGGGACATTTGGCACGTGGAGCCCTCGGATCTGAARATCCCCCCGCCCAACGAGCCCCGGGACGCGGGGCAGGACAAGACCCCCAACGGCACGGCGGCCTAGGGGCCGGAACCCGGGGATGCTGTACAATTCTCTGCTGTCTGAGTCTCTGTGTCGCTGCTGCTGGCTTTCCTTAGGGACGGGGTGGGGGAGAGGGGGAGGGGTTTTTATAACCTAAGTGTCAGTGTGGAAAGCGAAACCACGTCGCCCTGTCGCTTGCATTAGGTGCTAAAAATAAAAAAAAGTGCCATTGGAGTCTAAGGGGGGCTGTTTGCTGGAGGTGGAAATTAGGGCTGGGCTTGCTTTCACCAGGGGTGGGGTGGCCAGCACAGCTGGACACAGCTGGACACAGCAGGATATGGGGGTGCCAGGCCTGTGCACCCCCACCAGTGTCCCATGGGGTGCTCCTGGTCACGGCTCTGGTGTCCTGGGCCACATCACCATCTCCATCCCTCGATTAACCTGCAGCCAGCGGGCAAATTAAAAGTTTCTCAGTAGTTTTTATTACTTACAGCAGTAAGTTCAGTGCCATGATGGGTYCTGGAGTGAGTTGGAGGGAGCATGTGGTCACTGCAGGCAGCAGCTGGCATCATTTCATGTTTAAGAAGTCTCTGCAACAAGATGTAATAAATCTTACGCTGTGTCACTGACCCTCCTGCGCTGCGTCGGAGCCTGGTTTGTGATCCCCGCACGCGAGGCTGAGCTTGGAGCATCTCTGCACCCAGGGCAAACAGGGGCTGCTGTCCCAAAGCCACCTCCCCACGCCACCCAGACCCAGGACAGGCTCAGGACAAGGAGGAGGGATTGAAATTTGGACAGTGATGCCAGCAAACAGCATGGGGAGGGGACGGGAGGGAGCAGGGGCAGGAGGCTGTGTGTTTGCAGCAGCAGAGGATGCACCAGAGAAGAGGAGGCCAAGGCTCACCCCRTGCCCCCCCAGTTCTCTGGAGCAGCACTTACTTCACCAGGGYGGGCAGCTCCGGGTTGGAGGAGATGTAGTCGTGGCCCAGGCCCAGCTTTTTGGGAAAGGTAATGAACTTCACTTTGGATTTGTCCTTGTAGGCTTTGCGTGCTGTCTCATAGAGCTGCCATGGGGCGGGAGCGGGGTCATCGGCACGAGCAGGGGACACCAAACCCCTCCAGAGGGGTGGGCACCCCCTCTCTGGCCACTTCAGCCCTTCCAAGCCCAGCTGGCAGGTGCCCACCCCCGTGGCAGGTGCCCACCTTGCGTCCCAACTTTGGCGGCACCACGCCATCGTCTTCTGCGTGCAGGATGAGGAGGGGGCACTTCAGCACCTTCACGCTGCGGACAGCAAGCACAGCTCTGAGGACACTCCCCAGAGCCACCAGAGCCCCAGGAGCCTCCCCAGCCCCTGCTAAAATCTCCACAGCACCCTGATCCCCCAGCACTGCCCCTCAGAGCCATCCCTGGCACGCCCTGATGGGTGCTGCCCATGCTGCTTGCACTGGCACGGCAGCAACAAGCACCCTAATCACCTTAAACCCYGATTACAGGGTGGCTGGGTTTCAAAAACACCCATAAATCAAACGGATTTTGGAGAGGCTGTGAGTGCTACAAGCAATGCAAGCGGGTAGTGCCCGAAAAAAAGGATGGCGGCTCGTGAACTTTGCTCAATAATCAAACTGATATCTGAGATTATACAAATAGAAAGTCCCTTTTGAAGTCTGAGTAAGCTGGGTAAACACAGAGGAGTGCAGGGATCTCACGGGGTGACTGATATCTCTCCTCAAACAGGTAGTCCCGCATCGTTCCCGCAGCCCTTTCCCACAGGAACTCACTTCTCATCGCTGGAGAAGAACATGTCWGCCCGAGCCAGGGAGTCCAGGATCAGGTACTCAAACCCCGGGAACTCCCGGTAGATCTGCCAGGGAGAGAGATTAGGAGAAGAGCCAGGGAGCTGGGGCTGACACTGCTGGGGGACCCCACCTGTCACCAAATGGGGACCCCAGAGCACCCTCCTGTCCCCACTGGGTGACCCCTCCTGTCCCAGAGCACCCTCCTGTCCCCGCTGGGTGACCCCTCCTGTCTCAGATCACCCTCCTGTCCCCACTGGGTGACACCTCCTGTCTCAGATCACCCTCCTGTCCCCACTGGGTGACCCTTCCTGTCCCAGAGCACCCTCCTGTCCCCACTGAGTGACCCCTCCTGTCCCAGAGCACCCTCCTGTCCCCACTGGGTGACCCCCCTGGCAGAGCCCCCAGACTCACCTTGGTGATGGGGATGTTGCCGGCCGCGTCTCGGATGTTGGTGTAGGGAGACTCCAGGACCACGGCATCAACCTGGACCCCTGAGGGTGCAGTGAGGGGCTGTGGGAGGCTGTCCCCACTGCCAGGCTGATGCCACACTGCCCTCCAGAGCAGCAGTGGGGCCAAGATGTCCCCATGCCACTGAGGAGGGCAGGGAGGGCTCCTCATCTCCTCTGAGGCCCCCAAACTCAGGGCAGAGCCTCAGGGTGACACTGCACGGGGACAGCCCACCCACGCTGGCCCTTACCTCGCTCCTCCTGCAGTTTCCTGGCTGCRTTGGTGGCAATCCTGTGACAGGARAGGTGGCAGTGAGGGGAGCAGCTCCCTCGGATCCCCCTTGCTCACTGCATTTGGCTTTGGAGTCTCCACCAAGGAGCTGCTCCAAGCCCTTGGTGCATCCCTCAGTGGCACCAGCCTGGCAGCAATGTCACAGGGCACAGGGAGGGCTCTGGTGTGTCCCCATCACACCCCCTGCACCCACCCTGTCCCCAAGGAGTGTCCCCAGAAGAGGATGCTGCTGTTGCCGCTCCGCTCTTTTGCCCAGTCGTAGAGTGCCAGCACATCYGTGGTGAAGCCTGTCTCTGTGGGGTGCCCACTGGAGTCCCCGTAGCCTGTGGGGGACACAGGGGACCTTGTGGGGACCAGTCCTAAGAGGGGAGGTCGCCCAGTAAGAGGCAGAGGGATGGCTTTACCTCTGTAGTCGAGAGCCAGGATGTGGAAGTCAGCAGCCCCCATCGTCTGTCAGAGCAGCACCGAGTTAGGTCCTGGCAGGGGATGCACCCCAGGGTCCCCAGCATGGTTCTGCACAGGGTCCCTCTGGGTCCCCAGGGCCAGCAGGAGCCTCACTCCAGCAGGTCCCAGTGTCCCCACGGGGCACCACTTACCTTCAAGAACTGGATGCGGTGACGCGCAGCCCTGATGAGGAAATGGGGGTCAGAGCTCGGGGGAACCCCAAGAGACCCTCGAGCACCAGGGCAGGTGAGGAATGGGGGTGGCCTTATCCCAGGAGGGGAGAGCTCCATGCTGTGGGGTGGGTGGGTTTTGACCTTTCCCTTTATTTTATCGGGTTTTTCCTTGATTTGCTGGGGTCAGAGATGGCCGCAGCAGCCCCAGCCCTGCTGCTGCACTGTGTTTTCTGCTCCTCACCTGGGAGCAGCCACCACACCCGTCCTCCCCTGCTCCTGGCCCTGCAGCAGCACTTCAGGATCTCACCTGGTGCCCCCATTGCCGTGCAGGTAGATGATCACGGGGTGAGCATCAGCGAGAGCCTCCTCGAACCAGCGCTGGTCCTTGCCCTGCGCCTCGGCCCCTCGGCTGCTTGGCACCGTGTGCCTGGGGGGACAGTGGCATTACCCCGGGGGTCCCCGTGGCTCAGCCAGGACAATGAGCACCAAGGATGTCCCACTCACCAGATGCCAACTGTGACACCCGGCTCGGTGGTCAGGTGCAGGCAGATGGTGTTGTCCACCAGCAGCTCCGGCYGCTCGAAATCCACGAAGAAGGGGAAGGCCACTGATGGAGAAAYCACAGCCATCATCCAGGATTTCCCTACTCAGCTGCTTTCATATGATTCTTCCTAAATCAACATCTCACTGATTTAAATTCYCAAGGGACATGCTGAGGTAGGTGATCCCAGCCCTCTGCCACCTCCTCCCACCCGAATTTCCAGCCCCGCCGATGCTGAGCGTGCCTGGGCGTGCTGTGACTGCAGGCAGCAAACAGGGTCGGCAGCACCACGTTATTAGGGCTTGCAAAACACAGGGCAAAATCCCTCCGTGCCTCCCCTGCAAACCCACGGCACAGCAGGAGCCAGGTAAGCACTGTCCCGGTGCCACTCAGGTGCCAGGCGTGGTGCCACCCATGCTTTGGGGGGTCAGCAGCCACCAGCTGAGTCTCTGTGGGGTTCTCCCGGCTGGGACAGCCCCAGGATACTCACGGAAGTTCAGGTAGACAAATTTGGTGAGCAGGCTGGGGAAGAGGCGGATGAGGAAGGGCACGGAGATGTAAGCGAGGAGCGGGGCCAGGAGGAGGGTGCGCAGCCCCGGGAGCCAGGAATGCAGGGACCTGCAAGGAGGCATTTCAGCACATTCCCCCACATCCCCCAAAAGGGATTTGGGGTGCAGCAGAGCAGGCTCCCCATTCCCAATCCCAGCCACGAGGGGTGGATACAGCGACTTTCTCCTACAAAGTCCTGAGGCTGGTCCCGATTCCTCTGGAATTTGGACTGGATCCCCACCCAGTGCCCTGTTTGGCTTTTGGGGATGGAGTCAGGGTGTTGGAGCAGCCCCACGGTGACACAGTGTGACAGAGGCCCTGTTTGGTCCCCCACACCCTCCCACGGACGCCGGGAGGCAGGAAAGGCAGCTTCCCACGGGCAGCCAGCAGGCAGGAAGGGCAGGGAACGTGCCAGGGCTGGGAGCTGCAAGTCAAACCGGCAATGAGGAGCAACCGATACTCTGGCAACGCCCCAAATCCCGGCTGGGGCGGCACAGTCACGCACCTGTCCCCAAACCTGGCTGCAATGCTCCGGGGACAAGGAGGAAGGTGGGAAAGGGGCTTGGGGGTGACCCCAGTGCCACCAGAGCCACCTCCAACAGTGTCTTTGCTCCCAAAAGCTGGGGGACACATCCTGTTGTGCTCCGCAACAGCCCCAGCTCCCAGCAGGGAAAGGAAAGCCAGGAGCTACAGCTTTCCCGGCACCGACAACTCTCGTGGGCTAACGGGGATGGGGAAACCAGTCTGGGCACTGGGGGATTTAGGGCAGAGGTTTGTGACAGGAGCCAGGCACCGCTCAGTCCCTGCCAGCGCTTGCCCAGGGGCTGCATCCATCCTGCTCCAGACAGTGTCCAGCCCRTTCCCTGCGCTGGGATTGCTGCAAGACCCGAAGGAAGGATTGCAAAAGGGGTTCCAGGGCACGATAGCACCGGTCCCCAGGAACAGGCACCCTTCCCGGGGCGGTRTAGGGTTGCATGAGCCGCGCTGGARGMACGGGCAGCTCCTCAAATCYCAGGAWTCCCCCAGSAYGTGGGGCTGAGCCGTYYCTCCGCACTCCAGAACAACGGGACGGGCCAGGAATGCCCTGGAGAGGTGGCAGGGAACGGTCAGGGGCGGCTCTCGGTGCTCACCCAGCGCTCGAGTGCAGCTCACGGCGCCCGGGCACAACACCGAGCCGGCCGGCCCGGGGCCACCAAACGGGACAGCGCCGTGACGAGCCACAGCACGGCTACGGGACACGGTGGGACACAGCCACACTGTAGGAACGTGGCCACCACGGCAGGGTGACACAGGGACACGGCCACTGCGCGGGGTCACGCTGGTGGCAGGGTGACACGGGGACATGGCCACGGGACGGAGTCACCGTTATGGCACGATGACACGGGGACACGGCCACAGAATGGGGTCACGGCAGTGACCGGGTGGCACGGCCTTGGCGGGGAGGGCACACACGGGGTCACGGCCCCAGCAGGGTGACCAGGCCACGGCGTGGGGTCACAGGAGCACGGGGTGACGGCCACCACGGCACGGGGACAATCCCGCGGCTCGGGGACAGCCCCGCGGCTCGGGGACAGCCCGGTGCGCATGAGACGCCACAGGGGACACGGCCGGGGACGGCGACACGCGGCTCGGGGTCCCCGCGGGTACTCACCGGCCCTGCCGCGCCGCGCCGGCCCTGCCCTCCGCCCGGGCGATGTTGCCGCCCCTGTCGCCGTTACGGCCGTCCCCGCCGCGACGCCGCATCGTGCCAGCTGCCGCGGCGACAGCGCCGACAGGCCCCGCCCAACGTCACCGGGACACGCCCATGTCACGAGGCCACGCCCACGTCACCGGGGCCACGCCCATGACAACGGGCTACGCCCATACCAGCAGAGCCACGCCCAAAGCCACGCCCCTGACACGCCCATTCGGGTGTCCGGGGCGGGGCCAGGGCCACCACGCGGTGTCACCGCCCGCCCCGGGAAATTTGGGGGACCCGGCCGGGCTGCAGCTCTGTCTAGAGGGACCCCATTAGGGTGGCAGTCCCCTGTCCCCAGGGACCTAATGAAATCTGCAATTCCCAGGGTCGGGCAGGTTTAGGGGGGACCCCAGAAAATCTGCAGTCCCCTGTCCCCAGAGACCCCACGAGATCTGTAGCCTCAGGTTTAGGGGGGACCCCAGAAAATCTGCAGTCCCCTGTCCCCAGGGACCCCAAGAGATCTGTAGCATCCAGGGACAGGCAGGTTTAGGGGTGACCCCAGAAAATCTGCAGTCCCCTGTCCCCAGGGACCCCACGAGATCTGTAGGCTCAGGTTTAGGGGTGACCCCAGAAAAACTGCAGTCCCCTGTCCCCAGGGACCCCAAGAGATCTGTAGCATCCAGGGACAGGCAGGTTTAGGGGTGACCACAGAAAATCTGCAGTCCCCTGTCCCCGCGACCCCACGAGATCTGTAGGCTCAGGTTTAGGGGATACCCCAGAAAATCTGCAGCCCCCTGTCCCCAGGGACCCCATGAGATCTGTAGGCTCAGGTTTAGGGGGGACCCCAGAAAATCTGCAGCCCCCTGTCCCCCAAGACAGACCACGGGGCCAGCAATAAGGTGACACAGGAAAAACAGCGTTGCCACAGGCAAGGGGCATATAGGGAAAGCTTCCAGGTTAAAAAATTAAAATAATTTTATAAATGGTTTAATACTAAACGCGGTGTCCCTAGGATTCAGCAGGAAGGGTGGAAAGCTGCTGCTGGCTCCCCTCTCAGCTGAGCCTCCCACCTGCAGCTCTGTCAGGATGAGTCAGCTCGGCCTYTTCAGGCTGAAACTTCCCACCAGGAAAGAAATACCCTGATTTCAGTGATATTCCCCGTGAAAGTGTGCAGGTGCAGGAGGGTGTGCTGCTGGAAGGCACCCACAGCTGGGCCATCCCTTGGGACACCACACCTGTCAGTGGGGCCCACAGCAGAGACCCCATAAATCARCTGTGGGAGGGCCGGGGCCAAACCTTTTCCCAGAGGAGCAGCCACCCACGCTGGCATTTTGAGCCGCTTTTCTCCATCTGCCCTCCAAAGTAAGAGCTGTTCTGCTTTTCCTGAGTTGGAATCGTTGAATCACAGGATCGTTTGGGTTTTAGGGGCCTTGAAGACCATCCCATGGGCAGGGACACCTTCCACTGTYCCAGGKTGCTCCAATTCCTGTCCAGCCTGGCCTTGGACAATTCCAGGGATCCAGGGGYAGCCACAGCTTCTCTGGGYACCCTGTRCCAGGGCCTCACACCCTCACAAGGAACAATTCCTGCCCAATATCTAATCTARCCCTGCCTCACCAGCCCTGAATGCAAATCCAGAGACAAACAGGTCCAGTCAAACCGGGGCTGTGGGCAGGTTCTTGCATCCTCCCCATCAGTAGCTGTTGCAATAAGGTGGCAATGGGGCCAGGAGAACAGGGAAATGACCAACAGACCCGGCTGCTTTCACAGGAAAGAGCTTTTCCCTCCCACCCCCAATTTTTCCCCGTTCCCAGTGAGAGCTGGGGCTGCAGCTGAAGCACTTGGCAGTGAATTGTCATGAAGGTGAGGGCAGAGGTGGACCCCAGAAACTCCAATTTGATGTCCACTGGGATGGGGAAGGTGCTGGAGGGGTCTGGAGCTCCTGAAAGCTGGAAGGGCCAGCACGGAGTGTGCACCAGGATGGAGCAACCACTCTAATTTTTTTTTTTTTTTTGGCCATAAGGAGCCAGCACACCAAACGCAGCAAACACTAGGGTTTCCTGGGCTGAAAGGGAAATCCTACAGCGGAAGGATGAGCAGGATCAGGCCCGAGAGGCGGTGCTGGGAATGCGATTGTGCTCTGGGAGCCGGACGTGGGATGGCAGCAGCGAGCCGAGCATCAGCGATACCGCTGCGCCTTAGCAGGGCTCGCCTTTGTTTTGTGCAAAAAATAGCAAAGTTCGGGCTTATGTCATTCCAAACTTCTCCCTGCACCAGCTGGGAGATGGGGAGGTTCCCTCCAGCTGTTTTTTTCTTTTTTTTTTTTTTTTTTTTTTTTTTTTTTCCTACAGCGTTTTATCCTTTTTCCTTTGTTTACGTTTGGCTGATGGTTTCACAGCTTTTTTGCTATTTTTGGGCTATTTTATAGCCCTGTTTCCCCCTGTCCTGGCCGGGGTGAGGGGTGCCTTGCTGGAAGGACCCAGGAATGCAGGAGCGGCTCTCGCTGCCCCCAGCTCCCCGTGCGGCAGCCGGACTTTTCCTCTGCCCAGAACAAAGCGCCCCATTGTTCKGGAAAAATGGGAAGGAAAGCGTGACGGAGCAGCCCGAGCCGAGCCGGGAGGGTGTTCCTGCGGGAGCCGGGCACCCACGGCCTCGCACCGGGGTCACCGCTSCCTGCGCAGCCGCTCAGCCCGATTTTGGGTGGCTCCGCGCCAGCCCCGCGGATCCATCCCGATGTCCGGCAGYGCCGGTGTTTCCCACTGTCCCGATTTTCGTGGCGTGTCACGCGTGGGTTGAGCCGAGGTTTCCTTGCGCAGGACTCGCCTCAAATGCCATCCCCAAGCGCAGCTGCTCGCTGGAAGGGGGCTCCCAAAATAGGCTGGAGAGCTCCGTGTTTGGCACAACCCCATGGCTCCCCAGAAATACACTCTTCTCCTGTGGGAAAACGGGGAAAAAAATAAAATCGGGATGCCTCTGCTAACAGCCGGTCCTAAAAATGAGTCAGGAATTTGCGCTCCTGAGCCGGGGGGCCGCACATCTCCGTGGCGTGGGGACATGGGGACACCGAGCTGCCTGTCCCCATCGCCCACCCGTGCACACGTGTGGCTTTGTTGGGTGACGGAGGAGGGGGATTTTTCGGGGCTGTCGCTTGGATTAGCGAGGCACCGGCGAGGAGGAGGAGGGTGAGGGGGGATAAAGGTCCTGGCACTCGCCGGGCTCGCAACAAAACAAAGCACCAGATGGTTCCAACTTCAGCATAATACGCGGAGAAAAAGTGTTTGAACCSGGGATGGAAAAGCAAATGTGGAAAGAGAGGGAGAAAGGAAAGAAAGAAAAACCCTCAGCAAGTGTCAGAGCAGAAGAAAGCGGCGGAGAAAAATGGCAAATGTTAAAAACTGAGACAAAAAGCCCTCGGCCGGCACAAAGCCGTGGCTGCTGACATCTGTCCGGCAAAGCYTCTCGCCAAGGGCCCCTTCCGTCTGGAGTCACCTTGCCTTGCTCCTGTCACCACAGGGACACGGCCACGGCCCTGGACAGGGTTTTGCTGGGTGCTGGGGGACACTGTGCCATGTCCCACAGCCACAGCGCTGCCCCCGGGGCAGGTGGCAGTGCCGTGCCAAGTGATGTGCCAAAGAGCAACTCCGAAATACTTTATTCCAATATTTTATTCCAATATTTATACAATATTTTCACAGTATTTCCTTACAATATTTTATGACAATATTTTATGACAATATTTTATGACAATATTTTATGACAATATTTTATGACAATATTTTATGACAATATTTTATGACAATATTTTATTCCAATATTTTTGAAGCTCTTTGCTCTGTTTCCTCACATGTCCCAGACGTCCTTGTCACCAGCCGGTGGGACCATGTGGCAAACCCACCCATGGCTCTGTTGTGGGATCTCGTGGGGTTTTTAGATCAAATTTCTGATCTGAAGAATACTTACGCAGCCCCGCGTGAGGCTTTTGTGTTCCCCTCGCTCCTCCCCACGAAGTATCTTRAACCTGCAGAGCCGAGCCGCCTTAAAAAGGGGAAGAAGTCTAAAAAGTCATCTTCCCCCAGGCATTTTCACCCCAAAAAAAGCGCAGCAAAATAAGCTCATGCAATTGCTCGAGAGCGGATTGCAGCGTGGGTGGAAGCCCTCATTAGCCATCAGAGAATCCACAAGCCCCGGGGACCGSCGGCTTCCCGCGGCTCGGCTGGCGCTGAGCAGGAGCGTGGGCGGGCGGCGGCTCCGGCTCCAGCCGGGATTGCCGAGCTTTAAATGAGGTTTGGGGTTTCTCTGGAGCCTGTGGGTTGTGTGCCACTTCCCCAGGGCTCCCCTGTAGCAGAGGGTGGTCCCGGGGTTTGTCACCCCCCAAAGCGAGTGAGGGGCACGGGTGGGACAGTGCAGAGCCACCCCCGGTGCTGGGATGGGTGCCACGGGGAGCAGGGAGATGGGGTGCCATGTCCCCAGGGTGGGGGACAGTGGGGTGATGCGTTGCTGTGACCTTCAGGTGTGGCGTAGCCCAGTGACGTGCTGGTGGTTTTTTTTGGGACAACGAGGAGCTGCAGGGCCATGTGCCCTGGGGGGCAGGACAGTGTGGAGCCGGGGTGATGCCACCCTAGGGGACAGGACAGCGGGGAGCCAGGGTGATGTCACCTTGGGGTGACAAGGACTCAGGGTGATGACCCCTTGTGTTGTGGGATGATGAAAACCGAGGTGATGTCACCCTGGGAAACAGGACGCTGGGSAGTTGGGGTGATGCCACTCTGGGCTGTGGGATGACAGGAACTGAGATGATGCCACTTGAAGGGACGGGACATTGAAGAGCCGGGTGATGCCACCCTGAGGTGTGGGACAGTGAGGACCATGGTGGTGCCACCCTGGGATGCAGGACAGCAGGGAGCCGGGATGATGTCCCCSGAGTGCAGGATGATGGGAACCGAGATGATGCCAGGACATTGGGGACCCGGGGTTATGCTGTCCTGAGGAGCAGGACAACGTGTAATTGAGGTGATGCCATCCCGGGGCACACGACAGAGGGAAGTTGGGGTGATGCCACTCTGGGGGACGTGACAACAGGAAGTTGGGGTGATGCCACTCGGGTGCAGAACAGCGGGGACATCTTGGTGCCGCAGGAGTGCGGGACATCCCGGCAGACCCCCGCAGCTGTCCCCTGAGCCGGGGGGCGTTCCCGGGCGGTGCCGCACAAAGGCCGCCGGTCCCCCCGCCCCGGGGCCGCCCCGCACCCCCGGGGCCGCCCCCGAGTCTCGGCCCAATAAACGCGGCCGCATTTGAACGCGGCGCCTCCCCCGGCTCCGCAACGCTCCGAGCGCTCCGCCAGCCCCGCCGCGCCCGCGGGCACCGGCAGCCGGTGAGGCCGGGACGGGAGCGGGGGTGGCTGCGGGAAAAGGAAAAGGGGCAGCGGCAGCAGCGAGCCCCGGGCTGCGGGGGGAGAGCCGTCCGCCCGGTCCCTCCTCCGCGGGCGGTGCCGGGGCGCAGCCCGCCCCTTCCCTTCCCGTCCCTTCCCGGCGGGGCGGCCGCGTGTGCGGGGCGCCGGGACGGGCCGGCGGGGACGGGGCGCAGCGGCGAGGTGGGTGCCCGGGGAAGGGGCTCTGGGGAGGGGGCGAGGCTGCAGGAATGGGATGCTGGAGAGGAGGAGGAGATGCTGGGTGCTGGAATTAGGGGGATGCTGGAGGAAGGGGGTGATGGGGGTAGGGAGTTGTAGCCGGAGGGTTCGATGGCGGTTTTGGGGGTGTCTGGCAGTGCGTGCCACGCCGAAGCCCCCAAGGTCCCCTTTGCTCCGGTGGCAGTGGTCCCGCGGGGTGACAGGTACCGAGTGCCCTCCTGCCAAGGGCACCCCATCCCTGTCCCCGGAGAGACGCTCCAACCGCTGCGAGCGGCTTCTGGACCACTCTCCCCGGGCCGAGTCCTGGAAGCAGCCGGCTGTGGCTGGAGGAATTCRTAACAGCGGTTGTTTTGTCATCGGCAAAGCTCTCGCTGTCACCAGGGTGGCAGACAGCATCTGCTGTCTGGTCACCAACCGCGGGCCCGTCTCCTTCGGAGCATCCCTGGGAGGATGGAGCCGAGGTTGGGAGCCAGGAAAGCCCAAATCCACAGCCTGGGAGATTCCGGTGCTGGGATTTTGCTGGGTGGGTGGGTGACAGTTCAGGTGGGTGACAGGTCGGGTGTATCCTGCTCTTCTCYCTCTCTTGCTCCCCAAAACGGAGCCGAGGGGAGGCGATGGACGCGTTATCGCCGTGATTCAGCACGGCCCGGGTTTAYCGGGGCCGGCTCAGCTCCGAGCTCCGCGGGAATTACCGAATCCCTCATTTCCCGGCGCGCGAAGCGTCGCTGGATAAATTACCGGCTCGCTTTGTTTACTTCTGAAATAATCAGCTTTGTGCTTCCACCTTGGGCTTTATCGCACCCGGGGCTCCCCGAGTTGCTKCAGAGCGACTCCAGCCCGATTTGCAAAATCAAACCAGATGGGCGCTTTGTTTTTCCTTACGGAGGGAAGGCTGCGAGTGAAAAGCCCTATTACAATGCAAATACCGGGCCGGCGTGAATATTCAAACYGCTGCGCTGCTTTTGAAGCTCTTTACATAAATTTATAGTGCTTTTATACGCCATCGCTGCTCTGCTAATCTGGAGTGGAGCTTGGTTAACAGAAATCGCTGCTCTCTGCCAACTTTGGAGGGTCTGGGGGTGTTTTGGGGTGCATGGGGAGAGGGGAAATTATGAGCGTGGTCAATGGGGAGGAGGAACCGCCAGCTGTAAGGCTGACTCTGGTGGTGACCCTTGAAGAGCTGGGCGTGCTGTCAAGTGATTTACTGACGTTTAGGTGCTTCATTGTCCTTTTGGGTTTTGTTTTCCCCTTTCCCTTCGGTTTCTCGGTGTGACCCTTTGTGGAGCCGCTGCTCCGAGAGAGGATGGGGTGTCACAGGGTGGGCTGAGCTGCACCATTGCCCCGACACGGTGTGGGGGTTTTGGGGTGTGCACAGGGACAGGGCACCGAGCTCTTCTGTCTGGGGACCAGTGACAGGACTTGAAGGAACTGCATGAAGCTGTGCCAGGGTGGGTTTAGGTTGGGTATCAGGAAAGGGCACTGGGCACTGCCCAGGCTCCCCAGGGAATGGTCCCGGCCCCAAGGGTGCCAGAGCTCCCTGTGCCAGGGATGCACAGGGGGGATTGTTGGGGTTTCTGTGAAAGGCCAGGTTTGGATCCATGATCCCTGTGGGTCCCTCCAGCTCAGGTCATTCTGTGATTCAGCAGAGCTGCCACTGTGATGGATGAGATGGTTCATTAGGGGAGGAAGATAATGAGCGTGAGACAACCTCACCTCTGGCTCAGTGGTCTGGTTTTGGTGGCTGCTGGGCACCTCACATAAACCCCACGATTAAAAACCGGGATCCTGGTGGCTTTTGCCACTTGTGTTCACATCACCCTCCTTTTCACAAGTGCAGCGGGAAAGGAAAGTTGCTTTAAAGTGCCCACACGTGGCCGTGCTCTCCGGACACTCCAGAGCAGTGACATCYCAAGGAGTGGGTGCTTGTGTCTTGGAGGTGGCCACAGGATGCTGTCGCCCTGGGTAATTACCACTAATTGCCAGGCCCTCATTTGAGTCGAGGAGATCAAGAGTAGCAGCAATAACAACATTTTCCTCCGTCTGTTGGAGGTGATGACTTCCACAGAGGGCAGGTTGGGATAAAGGCAAGGTAGCCCTGGTTGGTCATGCAGTCCATGGGGGCATCCAAGCAGAGCATCCCTAAAATCTCCATCTCGCGCTCTTGTGCTGCAGCAAATGGGATTTTTTTCTTTTTAATTAATCAAGTAGAAATTGTCCCTGCCCATGACAGGGAGTTGGAATTAAATGGCTTTTCAAGTCCCTTCCAACCCAAAGTCATTCTGGTATTCTATAATTCATACTGTTTCCCTCCCCTCTAAAAAAAAAAAAAAAAAAGGTAATTGTGCTAATTGTGGTGTTTTTACTTGCCGATGCCATTGATTGACCAGGTAATCTGTGTCTTCATTAGCTCCGGGCTAAAGTTGATATTGATTCCAGGCGCTTAATATGCGAAGCGGTAATTACTGYTTAAGCCTATATTGTTTGAGTTAAATTTAGCCGAGAGTTTAGTGCTGGCAGGCCCTTACATTGTGTGCTGTGAAGGTTATCTGGCTCTCAGGAGGGGGTGGATTTAAAGGCAGGAAAGAAACGCCGGTGAAAACTTCCTCATCTCATCATCATCATCCCGGAGCGCTTGSCTTCCCCGGGCTGGTAATAAGGAGAACAGAAACGAGGAATTACGCCATGGGGACTCTCCTAAATCTGCACTTTTCAGCGCTGGTCATTCTGTGGGACTTGAAACCACGCAGAAAAGCCAGCAATAAATCTGAACAAAGTGATGCCCCGTGCAGGGACCGGCCCCTCTCCTCYTCCTCCTTTCGGGGCCGGGGGATCCCTCGCTCAGCTGCCGCCCTCCCCTATTATCCCACCCGCCCTGGGATCTCAGCTGCTGGCCCATCTGGAGCGGAGATGAAAGGCCGGGCTGTAATTCGGGCTTTGTGTGCCGCCCCTTCCCCCGCGGGTGCCGGCGGCTCTGTGGCCGCTGTCCCCATTATTCCTCCCGCCGTCTCCTCAGGTAGGAGGCTGGCTGGTTTTCCCCGCCGTGGAAGCGCTGCTGAATAATTCARGCGGGAGTAGAGTAGGCATCTTGGGTCACCTTGCGCAGCCGGCTGCGTGCCGGAGCCGCCCGCCTAAGATGGAGGTTGTGCAGGATTGCGGGCCCGCCGGGCTGCCGGCAGCTCCCGCCGCTCGCTGACCGCAGGTAGGCACCGGCCTCGGCTTTCCCCTGCTCAGATTTTCGATATTTTATGTGCCGGGGAGCGGAAATTYTTCCCAGGGCTGGTGGAGCCCGCTGAGCTGCGGGTGTCGCTCGCTGWGGGGATGTGTGAGGGTGCCATGGCCGCGGTGCCCTCACCAAACCTCCCCTGGGCTGTGTGAGGTGGGGAGCGCACACCTGATGCTCTTTTCCTTTGGGAATTGTGTGCTCCTCGCTGGTTTTATGGGCTCCCCAATGATTTCTCCATCTGGGTTTGCCCAGGGTGAGTTTTTGTGGCAYGGAGGGGGTGATCCCTGTGGCAGCAGGGATGTGGCATTCGGCTCTCTGCGCTGTCTAACTGGGCAAACTGGTTCTGGCAGCAGGGTCAGTGCTGGAGACATCTCAGGGGGAAGGGCAGGAGGTGGCTGACCCTGGAGATAAGAGGTTCAGAAATGCTTGGGAAGCTCTGTGGGGTGGAGTCACCTTTGCTGGAGGCTCGGCTGKGAGTTTTGGGGCCGCTGGAATGTGCAGGGAGGGCTCCCTGACMCCAGATCCGAGCCCTGGGGGTGCAGGTGGGAAATGGGGTTGTTGTGTGGGAATGGGAACGAGTTTGCTGCCTTCCTGCTGCTCGCAGGCACCTGAGATTTTGGGTGCTGCCTTGTCTGTGCTCCAGGTTGAACGTGTCGGCTCCTTCCCTCCTCCCCACAGTGCTGGGGTGCCGGGAGAAATCAGCTCAGGAGGGGTTTGGGGGAAAAAAACGGGACTGGGAGATTGTGATGCTCAGGTGGAGGGGTTTTGTCCACCCTCTGGAGTGTCCGTGGTCATCCTTGTCCGTGGTCATCCTTGTCCGTGGCAGTGTGGGGGGAAGGCTGGGCTGTCCCTGTCCCATGGGCCCTGCCTCCCTCAGCAGATGTGGCATCCCCAGGATGCTCTGCCTTGGCATCTGCTCCTGCTGCAGTGAAATCAAGGGCACGGCTGGGCAGCGCTGCCCTGGAGATTTCCGATTTTCTGGGGTGGCATTGGGCTGCAGCTAAAGCAGCTCTGCCCGTTCTGAGATGTCCAGGAGCACTGCTGGGGTCAAAGGCAGCCACCAGAACCCTGTGGGCATCAGAGGGGGCTTGGGTGGGACCCCTGTTTGGGGACATGTGGCTGAGGCTGCCCAGGCACCCCGGGATGCCCAGGTGGGTCCAGGGGACACCAGGGTCCTGCAGTGCCAGTGGTCACTCTGTGCTCGCAGTGAGGGTGGTGGCAGCRCCTGTCATGTCCCAGGATGATGGCACGTCCACACCGAAGCTGTATGGTGGCACTGGGTGACACTGCTCCCACCCCAAGCCAGCCCAGAGCCCTGGGCAAACAGATCCAGCCAAATCCTTCCTTTTAGATGGGAAATTTCAGGGCTCAACAGCTCCAGTCGATTTTGGAGGGTTTTTTTTTCCAGCCTGAAGGATTCCTTGGTCCCATCTTTGGCACAGGGGGTGCGTTGTGCCCAAACAGGGGGTGGGCACTGTGGCTGGCTGGCATGAAGGGTTTGGGTTGGGGTCTCTGCTCTCCCCTCCCCAGGCAGAGCCCCCACTGCACTCCCTGCAGCTCTGGGGTGGTTGTTTATCCTCTCACCCCAGCATCACCTGCCACACCTGGGATCAGTGGAGCTCAAGGGAATGATTTTCCCCTGCAGCACCTCAGCTGAGCCTGGTGAGGTGGCACGCAGGGACCTGCCACGGGGCTGGCCCAGCCACCTGCGCTGTCCCCTCCCAGGGTTTGGCTCTGCAGGTTTTCTCCCTTCCGTCCTTCTGCTGTGAGATTTCTTACCCCAGTGGGGTGGGAGAGACTGGGGCAGTGGTGGAGCATTTAAAGTGACCAAGCACGGCCTCATCAGCCTCGTGGGCAGCTCCCACGAGGAGGTTTTTTGCTGTCCTGGGTCCCACCGATGGTCACCTGGCCGGTGTCTYCCCACAGGTGAGCGTGGCAGGCTATGGGATGGATGAAGCTGAGCAGGACCAGTATGAAGCTCGCCTCAAGGAGCTCTTCGACAGCTTCGACAGCACGGGCACGGGCTCCCTGGGCCAGGAGGAGCTCACTGACCTCTGCCACATGCTGCACCTGGAGGAGGTGGCCCCGGCTCTACAACAGACCCTGCTCCAAGGAAACCTCCTAGGCAGGGTAAGGATCGGGGAGATGGAGGGGGAGGTGGGGGCTGGGGAGACAGGTGGTGCCTGTGTGCATGGGGTGGTTTTGGGAAGGGACTGATGGCTCTGATTTGTGTGTATCCAACGTTCCTGAGGCTCTGGGGCTGCTCTACTCTGTTCAGTGGGGTGGGCACGGGGTGACTTCCAAGAGGAGAATCGGTGATGACAGGGAGGGGAGCTGCTGAGTCTGCCCTGACTGGAGGGGCTCTGAAACTCAGACCCCACCACTTCAGGCTGAGCCTCGTGCCCTGGTGTGCTCTCCCGGTGCCCAGGGCCAGAGCAGGTGCCAGGTGCTGCCTGTCTTTGTGCCAGCGCTCAGCTCACACCATGCCCATGCCCCAGGCACTGGTTCCTGGTGCTGCTGGCCTGGGTCACCTGCCCAAACCAGCTCACCAGGTGCTTGCACAAGCTCTGAGCCCCTTGGGACGCGACAAGGACCTAAATCCAAGGCTGGAGCCTGTGATTTGCACTGGCTCAGGCTGTTGTTAGACTGGCGGTGCCATGTGCTGCCACGCACGTTTCTGTGGGGTGGGGAACATTGTCCCACTCAGGAGGTGCTGTCTGAGCCACCTTTGCCCACATTGCATGGTSCTGGTGGCTCCCAGAGCTGTTTTTCCTTTGTGGCTGTGCCTTGCTGGAGTTCAGTGCCCGGGCACGGAGCAGGAGCCGTTGGCCCTGGGGGGATCTCCTGTCCTTGTGCTCGGCGTTAGGCCTTTCCCGGCGCGCCGTGCTAGGAGTGCATCAGAGCCTTCCCTGGAAATCACCCTGAAATCCCATCACTGCTCATTAACATCAGAAAAATGTGGAACAGGGCAGTCAGGGCTCTGAGCAGACGAGCAGCCATCCCGACTCCAATTTCTGATCAAACTACAGCTTTCACAAACAGAATAATTCCTTTAACCAACAAAGGGATCTTTCCTTTTCCCTCCTCTTCCTCGCCTGCCCTGGGGCTGCAGCTCTTCTGCTGACAGTGAGTGGTGCCAGAGCAGGGAGGCATCCAGGCAGAGGTTGCTGACCTTTGGAATTGCAGTGTGGCATTTTCTGGAGCACCAGAGACSTCTGTGCTGCTTCGTTGTCTTGAGCACCTGGCACTCGGATTCTGTCATCAAAGATTCGTGGAGTGGTTTGGGTTGGAAGGAACTTAAAGATCATCCAGTGCCACCCCCTGCTGTGGGCAGGGATGGTTTTTACTGGACCAGGTTGCTCCAAGCCCCATCCAGCCTGGCCTTGGGCACTTCCAGGGATCCAGGGGCAGCCACAGCTTCTCTGGGCACCCTGTGCCAGGGTCTCCCCACCCTCACAGGGAATAATTCCTTCCCAACATCCAATCTAAACYTTCCCTCCTTCAGCTTAAAGMCATTTCCTCTAATCCTATCACCTGGCTTTGCCACTTGTGGGATGGCACAGAGAGSAAGGGAGGGCAGATGTGGCTGTCACAGCTGCCCAGGGCACCAAAACCCCCCTGAGGTCACCCTCACCCCATCCCAGCCCAGAGCTCTGTCCCTGCAGGCCATCCSAGGTCACCAAGCTTCCCATTTTACYTCATTCCCYCTTTGTCTTTGGGGATGATTCTCCYTTCCAACCTGCACTGGAGCCTCAGGATAATCTTTGTTTCCCTGGTGCTCGTTAGCAGCAGCAGCAGCAATGGCCCATGTCAGAGCACCAGCCAGGTTTAACAGCTCGGGGTCTTTGGGGTTTCCTAGGAAGCTCCTCCTGGGGGAGCAGCAGCCAACACTTTGCTCCCTGAGYRCAGACTTCTTGCACCTGCCCRCAGCCCCTCGCTGCAGATGGTCCAGCCTTTGTCCAGGGACCAGGATTTATGGCAGGGGGGCTGCGGGGGAAGGTTTTGTGTGCTGGGGGCAGCTCTGTGGGGCCACGTGCTTGCCTTTGTGCTGGGCTCTGCTCTGGGGATGAATGCTCTGGGATCACGGAATGGGGTGGGAAGGGGACATTAAAGATCACCTTGTTCCGAGGGGCAGGGRCTGGGAGCTGAGCTGGCATCCTGAGAGGGGCTGGATGTGCTGCCCCTCCCTGTGATGGTTTGGGGTTAATGGGGTCTGATGTGGAGGTGTGAATCCTGCCCTGATTTGTGGCAGAGCCAAACCACCCCAGAACTGTTTTCCTCACAGGATTCCATTTGGAAGTGACACTTGCAGCAGTTCCTGGGATTCCTCAGGAAAGCTGTCTGCCCTCATCCTTGACAGCAGGAGGCAGGGATGGGTGTGGATGTGCCTGTCTGTCTGCCCTCTCTGTGCCCTTTAATTAGCAGCAAACTCACGGTGGTGTTCTGGGGACACAGCTCATGGGCCTGGGTGATGTACAGGGATGGTGTCAGTCCCTGGCAGTGTCCAAGGCCAGGTTGGATGGGGCTTGGAGCAGCCTGGGCTAGTGGAAGGTGTCCCTGCCCATGGCAAGGGTGGAATAGGATGGTATTTAAGGTCCTTCCATCCCAAATCTTCTGGGATTCTGCAGAGTTGGGCACCTCCAGGCCCTGCGCAGGGCCCRTCCTTGGCACTGTCCTTGGGCAGGGATGGGCAGCTCAGGTTTCACCTGCACTCCTGCATTCCCAGCTCAAAGCAAGGACACCGTGGGGTGGGATTTCACTGCCAGCTCCCTGCAGTGCCMCTGCCYGGGTCCTCTGGCACAAYRTCCTCCCTCTGTGCCCCCAGTGATGCTGTGCCCCCGTGCGCTGTGGGGTTTTGGGTACCAGGCTSYCCTGCTCSGGTGTCACTGCASGATCGGCTTGTYRGGACCCAGGGAATGGCTGGAGCTGTGCCAGGGGTGGTTTAGGCTGGAGATTAGGGAAAGATCTGTGCCAGAGGGTGCTGGGCACTGCCCAGGCTCCCCAGGGAATGGTCCCGGCCCCGAGGCTGCCAGAGCTCCAGGAGCATTTGGACAGCGCTGCCAGGGATGGACAGCGGGGATTGTTGGGGAGTCTGGGCAGGGCTAGGAGTTGGACTCTGACCCTTGTGGTTCCTTCCCATTCAGGATATTCCACAATTCTCTGCCTTCCTCACCCCCTCTTCCCCTTCTGTTTGCCTCAGCTGGAGKGAGTTTGCAGACAGGGACATCACTTTGGGAACGGGGCTGTGCTGGATTCAAGGATGGGTATCTGGAGGGAGCCACCGGCATGTCCTGGGTGTGCCAGGCGCTCTGCACGGTGGGGACACGGCGGGGACACAGCGGGGAGCAGCGGGTGCCTTGGCATGGGCACACAGTGCTTTCAGTGCTCAGCAAGTCACAGCTCCAAGGGGGCGGTGAGAGCTGGGGCTGCCACAGCCTTGGTGGGTCCCCGATTGCCATGGGGAGGCTGGGCTGGGCTGGCAGTGCCTCTCTCGGTGTGTTTGTSTTGTGTGCTTTGATTGACTCCTTCTGGGAAAATCCTYCTCCCTGGGCAGTTTAGTTGGCTCYGGGTGCTGATCTGGCTGTGGGGTTTGCAGGGCTGTGTGTCCCATCCCTGATCCTGAGTGGACACCACAGCATGCTGTACATCACCCTTCAAACCCCTCACTGGTGCCTGGCTGCTTGGGATCAGCCCCAGATTGCTGAGAGACCCCCATGAGCAGGTCCACAAATGGGCAACACCAAAATGCCATCATGGGATCAGAGTGGTTTGGGTTGGAAAGGACCTTAAAGCTCATCCTGTTCCACCCCGTGCCATGGGCAGGGACACCTTCCACTATCCCAGGCTGCTTCGAGCCCCGTCCAGCCTGGTCTTGGACACTTCCAGGGATCCAGGGGAATCTGTGCCAGTGTCTCCCCACCCTCCCAGGAGGATTTCTGCAGCGTTTCTGGCTTTGCTGCCCCATAGCTGCCTCGCCGGCCTTGTGCTCCAGCCCAGCTCTGATGTTATCAGTGGTGTTTCTCTAACTCTCCAGGCCCTCTCTGTGCACAGACGTGCAGCATCCAAGGTCAAACGTGCACCACAGACTGGTTTTGCTGGTTAGCTGGTGTTGGGAGAACCTCTGGCCCATCCTGGTTTAAAATCTCCTCTGCCAGCTGGGGCTCCACCTCTAGAGTGAGGACAGCAGTTGGAAACCCCTGTGCTTGTCCCTGAGCTGCTGATTTGCACTGAAATTCTCCTATGCAGCAGAGGAGGATGGCCACAGCCTGCTCCACACCCCAATATTCCATGGAGATCCTCTGGATGTCGTGGTGCCATCCTGGTGTCACTGTGGGGCCAGGGCCACTTGTTTCTGTGCAGGGAACGAGGGCTCAGCCCTTCCTCCTCCTCCTCCTGGGTGCAGCCACGAGTTATGGAGCTCACCATGCAGGGCAGGTGATGTCAGGACTGCTGCACACCTGCCCAGATGGTTTAAATTTATTTAATTCCATGTTTTTGCGTGAGGGATGCAGAGTGAATTTTATTTCTTGCTGCTGTGAGGTCCCATCCAAACCCAGCCCCGGGGACTGGCCCTGTCCATTGTCACTGTTCCTTTCCTAAGAGGATCCCGTGGGGAGGGAACCTGTAATTCGAACACCCTCATCTTTTATTCATCCTCATTTAGTCTAAATGTCAAGTTTTCTTTCAATCGGGGAAATTCTGCTCTCTCTGTAAACTGTCCTTTCTGAAGTGCACCCGTGTTTGGAGATGGATGGCAGCAATTAGCATTCAGATGAAGGCGTTCCTGATGAGCTTCTTTGCTGAACATATTTTTAATTGTGTTTAAAATCAAGTTTAAAAACGTTTAAAGCTGCAGTGGGGGTTGGCGTGGCATGAGGTGCTCCTCTGTCTCCCAATGTCTCACATTACCCACCTTGTTGGCTTTTTTTTGAGCTTGCTTGACCCCAAAAAACAACTGAAGAGGTTCAGATCTGAACTTGGCTATATCAAAACCCCTCTGACCGCAGCTCTGTGTTCTCTCTCTGCCAGCCAGAGCAGCCTCTCTGGGTTCCTTTAAATACAAAATCCCTCGTTCCACGCTAAAAATTCTTCCCAGATTTATTTAGCCAAAAGAAACGGTAGCAGGCGGCTGTGCCTGGCCGCTGACCCACGTCAAATGGCCACTCCAGCTGTCCCTGGGTCCCCGTGTCCCCCCAGGGCTGGAATTGCTGACATTCCCCAGCATGGCTGGCCAGGATGCTGTAGCCTCCTTGGGGCTGCTCCTGAGCCTTTCCAGGAAGGCACAGATGGAAAAAGGGGGGGGGGAAAAAAAAACCCCTCAATGTCAGGATCATCCCTCTGCTTTTTCCCTTTTTCTGGTTCAGCCCTACAGGAACTGGGGCTGCCCTAGGAAGGAAGGGATTGTTCTGCCATTCACACTGAGGAGTGGTTTTTGAAGCTGAATTAGGGCAGTGGAGCATTTCCACAGTGGAATACCCCACCCCTGACCAGGAATGGTCTCACTGTAGGAGCCACCAACCCTGGCCAGGTCACCTCCAGCAATGGATATTCTCCCTGCTCCTTTGGATATATTATTTCAGCTTCTTGCTCGATGGAAAAAGCCAACCAGTGCATGGAATCAGTGGCTCTGGGTCATTCTGTCAYAGCAATAATTCTTTCCCAGAGGTGCTGGCTGTGTGCTCATGTCTCCTGCTGTCACCTCTCCAGGATTCCTTCGTGCCCTTGCTGAGTCTGTTGGTGCAGGCRTGGTGATCTCAGTGATTCCTATTGATTCTCTCCGGATTATTGCCCTCATATTTCACTCTGCACCACCTGATTTCCTCTTTTCTTTCTTTCTTTTTTTCCCCACAGGTCCACTTTGATCAGTTTAAAGAAGCACTTATCCTCATCTTATCCAGAACCCTGTCCAATGAACAGCACTTCCAAGAACCAGGTAAAGACTCAAATTTCCTAAAAAATTCCATTTCTATTGGCAAAGCAGCTGTGGGTGACTCCCACTGAAGAATCTTTTAAAAGAGAAAATGCTTTTTAATTGCTGAGATTGGCCATCCAAGCAGAAAAGACTGATCTTGGGAGAAAAGGGAGTTGAGGTCTGTTTTGGAGCCTGTACCCAAGTGTTTTCAGAGCCTCCAGATATTTCTATGCCATTCCCAGGATCTGAATGCCTGGAGAGACACAGGGTGGCTGTGAGCAGACAGTTCCACCCCACTCAGATGCTCWGGATGTCCCATGGGTGTGACATGGGCTCAGGTCTCTCTGTCCCCCACCACTCTTGGTGGCTGGAGATGCTGTAGGAGCAGAGAGTTGTGGCCAGGCAGTGAAATGGCTGATTTAATGGGATTGTGTTGATTTTTTCCCAGCTGGAATTGTGTTGATTTTTATGTTTTTAAAGTCTGTTCTGTTTTCTTGTGTCTGAGAGGAGCGGGACGTGGGGAGCTTCTCTGTATTTCTGCCAGGAAACACTCAGGCTGCTCCAGAGGTGTTCTGAACAAATGAACCCCTTAAAAAAACAGATTGGGGATGGTCAGAGAATTCCAGGATGGTTTGGAAGTCCCAGGAAGGGACCTTAAATCCCATCTCATTCCATCCCAGCCATGGGCAGGGACACCTTCCACTATTCCAGGCTGCTCCAAGCCCCATCCAACCTGGCCCTGAACTCTTCCAGGGACCCAGGCACAGTTTTGTGAGTCCTCAATGTCCTTGTTTTCCCTTGCTTTGTTTCAGTGTGCCTTGAAAATGCTTTTTTTTTTTTTTTTAGACTTTCCTTGGCAGGCAATCAGGTTCCAGCCCAGTGTGCAGCAGGGACTGGGAGCACTGGGAGCTGTGGGGCCACACCGAGGGCTGAGCCCTGCAGCTCCAGCTGGTGTCACACCTGTATGTAAATCCCTAATCCTGTCCTTGCAGCAGCAGGACAGTGAAATCCCTGAGGAAGGAACAGCTCAGCAAAGGGGGAGAGGGAAACTCCAGGTTTCCTCTCCAGCAGCRTCAATCTCAGCTAGAGCATCCCACTTGAGAGAAAGCAGCCTGCCAGCAAAATTACACCTTTCCCCTTTAAATAGGCTGCAAAAACCACGGGCTTGGAGAGGTGGGATTGATGGATTGTTTTTGTTTTCCACCTCTCATTTCYAAAGCTCTCAAAGCTGAGAGAGGGGCGACCCTTAATGGAATTTCTGAGTGGGTGCTCGGGGGTGACGGGGGAATCTCCATCAGGTTGGATCTGCTCCCATCCCTCGGAAAGGAGCTGGCGTGGAGCAGAAGGCACACCCAGCACCCCAGCGAGCCAGAACTAATCCAGCATCCTGCATTTATTGGGGAATCATATGGCTGAGGAGCTCCAGCTTGATTGAAATGGAAATAAATCTTACAGGAATGGCTAAATTTGGGGTTATCGTGAGGGAAACGGTGAGCGAAGCTGGAGAGCCCTCCTTGGGGACACATTTGTCAGCTGGGCTTGGAGTGGCAGGAAATCAAAGGGCAGGGGGTGCAGGTAGGGAGGCAGAGACAGGCAGGCCTGGCAGGCATTTTATTTTTAATGCGTTTTGACAGGTTGGTTAACGCCAAAGTCTTTGCTTCTTTTAATTTAGATCAAACTGGAGATTTGGAGAACAAGCTGCTTTGTGCTGCTGGTGTCAAACTGTCAGGGAGTGGGGAAATGCTGGTGTTCCAGCCCGCCCCAGGCTTGGGAAAAATTGAGTTAAGAGCTCTAAATCGTATCATTTAAATGAAAATTTAATTTGGGGGGGATCAGGGAGGGGGGTGAAGCAGGGGTTTTAAAGCTGTTGCTGTGTCTGGGGGAGTTTGCTCTGGAAGGAAGTGGCTGTGTGCTGGGATGGTGGGGTTTGATCTGGGGATTTGGGTGGTGGGGTGGTCATTAGGGTTTGGGGGTTATGGGATGGTCACTGGGGGTTATGGGATGGTCACTGGGGGTTATGGGATGGTCATTGGGGTCTGGGGGTTTTGGGGAGGTCACAGTGAAGGGGAATCCCATGTCCTTGTCCCCACAGATGCTCCCGGCTCAGGGAGGAGAGCTTGGACAAGGAGCTGGGGGTGGCAGGAAGGATGTGGAGCTGATRGAGTTCAGAGGAGGCACAGAGGGATGGAGCCCCTCTGCTGTGAGGAAAGGCTGAGGGAATTGGGATCGTTCGGATGGAGAGGAGAAGGCTCTGGGAAAACCTTATAGCCCCTTCCAGAAGGGAGGCAAAAAGAAACAGGGAATGGGATTATTGACAAGAGTGGAGTGACAGGACAAGGGGGAATGGTTTTAAGCTGRAAAAGGGCAGATTTAGGTTGGTTATTGGGAAGGAATTGTTCTCTGTGAGGGTGGGGAGGCSCTGGCACAGGGTGCCCAGAGAARCTGTGGTTGYCCCTSRATCCCTGGCAGTGCCCAAGGCCAGGCTGGACATTGGGRCTTGGRGYAGCCTGGGACAGTGGGAGGAGATGATTTTTAAGGTCYCTTCCAYCCARACTGSTTCTGTGACAGTGCCCTGGKGTCACAGCAGGACCTTGGGCTGGGGACAAGGAACCAAAAGCGCTGCAGTTCCCACAGAAGCAGCCAATGGGGTTTCCTCATTTTGGGAGAAAGCAGCAGGTGGGAGAAGCGCTCAGGCTTGCAGAGAGCAGCTGATATATTTATATTATTTTTTTTTTCCCCTTGGCAAAGAGGCTGAATTCCTCTTGCAGAGGGAAGACTGGCAGGGAGGATGGYGCTGCAGGCGCTCTGCCTGGGAAGCAGCCCTGGAAAGCGAGGCARGCAGAGTTCCAGTGCTGCCATCAGCTGTGTCCCCTCGAGGGTGGCAGTAAGGGGACACAGCCCCAGCTGTGACCCAGAGCATCAGCTGGCCAGGCTGATGGGAAGAGGGACGGGGAGATTCCAGGAAAAGCACAAAAAAAGGCTTGGATGTGGTTTAAAATAATCACTGTTTTAGCTCTTGAGACYGTGGGACCGGGCTGGGTGCTGCTGCCACCACTGCTCTTTGTCCATGGGTTACTGCAGCAGTAAAAGGGGACAATAAAATTGCTTAAAGAGTGAGGAAAGGATAAAAAAATAAAATCAGTTGTGTGGGTGATTAGGGGAAAAAAAAAATCAGTTTTTTTCTTGCCCATTATAGCAAATAAAAAGTGCGTGGAAGCCAGGCTAGGGAAGGATTAGCGGGGTGCAGTGCGGGATTACAGGAACACCCAGGAGAAATTAAAGAGCAGTTTGACGCCATCCTCCCTGTGGTCACGAGGGGGTTTGGGGTTTTTCCTGCCTGGTTTTTCCCTTCTCCTGCTGGAGACAACAGAATTGCCCTCCCAAAGAGGAGCTGGTGGGGATATGATGCCTTTTGGGAGGGCCCCATCCGTGGGGGAAGGGTTGTTCAGTGGATAAAACCAGTGCCTGGATAAAACCAGAGTGGTTGAGGCACAGACAATATTTTTGGATGGTAAAGCATTGATTTTGGGTTGTGGTGACCCAGCCATGGCTCCTCTCTGCCTCCATTTCTGAGTCTGAATTATGAAACAGGGGCTTGGAGGAGTTCAGACATACCTGGTGCCTTGGGGGATTAGGATTTAGCAGATCCAGCAGTTGGAGCATCCCTCCCTTCCGAATCTTAAGCAGCAGAGAAATTAATTTCACCTCGAAATGCTGGGATTGTGGGATGAGGGTCCTCCTGYTCTAAACCCCCTTTTGTCTGCGCTCCAGGGCTTTGATGCTGGGCCCAGGCAAGGGGAGCCCCCCTCCTTCCCTCCCCATGGTAAGGGCAGAGCAGGATTTTGCAATGACTTATCTGGCGCAGAAAGGCAGAAAATCGAGTSTAAATCTCCAGCCATGGAGAGGTTTCACTGCCGGGATGGGCGAGGGGGAGCGAGAAAAAGAGAATTGATGGGTTCTTAAATCAGGGGGGACTGGTGAAATACAGGCTCAGGGGGGTTGTTTTATTTCAGGGGGCACTTTGAGGGCCACAAACCCTCTGGGCAGTGAGCAGGAAGGTGAGAGGCTTCTTCTTTCAGCCTCCTCCTYTTGCCCCCAGCCCAAGGGTGGTTCAAGGGGCAGATCAGACCCCAGGGTCTAATTAGGCACCAGCTCTGCAGTGAGTTTTACTAAGCCCATGCCTTAGGAAGCAGAGAGGGCTCAGCCTATTTTATTTTTCTCTTTTTTCCTCCTTTCTTGGTGATTTGTCAGCCACACAATAGTGGGAGTTGGAGCAGCAGCATCTCACCTTGCTCCTGGTGGGGGGAGTGGGTACCAGAGCATCCTCCCCTCTGATCAGGGGGGATATTTGGCATTTTTGGGGATAAATAGCACACAGGGCTGTGAAAGGAATGATTTTGGCATCTCCTTCCTGGYTCCTCCTGTGCCTCTGAAAACACATGTGGGTTGAGCAGCTCTTTCCATCTAAAGTTGGACTTGATGATCTCTTGATGAAGTTTTTTTCCAGCCTTAATGATTCTCTAATCCTTCCTGCTCAGTTTTGGCTGGGAAGGAAAACCTGTTCAGCTCATCACTGAACTTCCTGCGTTCAGGAAGCATGGATGGCTAAGTTTTGCTTTTATGTGCGTCCAGCATTCCCTAAATACTGGGAATGGTGGGAACAGCAAGGTCACCAGGGGCTGTGCTGGGATTTTGGTTGGAAAAGCAGGAGATGTGGAGGTTTGGGGTATGCTGCAGGTAATGGGGTATTTGTACACCTGGCTGAGAGGTGATGGTGCTGGGATGGAGAGGGATTTGTGCTCTCAGGGATGGGGCTGAGGGAAGAGCTGTAACCCAGGGTTAACCAAAGCACCCTGGCTCTGTAAATGGGATTTTGGGATGCCTGAATTATGGGATTTCAGGGAGGCCAAACTGGGATCAGGCACAGCTGGTTTGAAACTCACAGCAAAGCAGGAGCAAACTTTGTTCTCYTCAAGCTGTGAAGGGTCACCTTCCCCTCCTGGGGATGTTCTTCAGTTCTTTAATTACAAAAGGCAAACAACTCAGCCAGGATGCTCAGAGCAAAAAGGAGAGAGAAAAAAGAGAGAGAAACCAGCTGCCAGCCTGCAAGTGCTGAAAACACCAAAGTGGGGAGATGCTCTTGTTGTTCCCATTCCCGTGCTTGCAGGGGGGCACAGCRTGAAGGCACTCGTGTTTCAGAGAGTCACACAGTGGTTTGGGGCTTTGAAAACCATCTCAGTCCAACCCCCTGCTGTGGTCAGGGAGATCTTCCACCAGACCRCTGGATTTCCACCTGCAGCAGTGTGTAAACACAGGGCTGGAGCAGAATTCTTCAGGAAATCCAGAAGGAAATTCAGCCGTGGCTTTGCTATTGCTGAATTCCAGCTTCCTCCCCCTCCTCCMTCTCTCCAAAGACAGATGGGCACGGAGGTACGGCTCTGTCTTAGGAATAATAAAAATGATTTCAGAAGAAAAACAAAGCCCCCCAGCCCTCCCTTGCGCGGGAGGGAGAAAATAACTGGGTGAATGAGTCGCCACAAATATTAGCATTTCAGAGAGAGCTGCTGGATGGAGATTGTTCACCACCGGGCAGGCTTTAATAGGAGCGATAAGGTTTGCTTTTGTTCTGGGGCTCTTCCTTAATCAGCCTGTCTCCTCCTGATTTTTCTATCGGCGCACTCCATCGCCCAACTTTCATGTGCTGAGTCCCAGCTGCAGCAAATCTTGTTAGAATGGCCTTGTTCAAACAGGGGCGCTGGGTTYGTTCCCTAGAGCTGGATGGAGCGCGGGGCTGCGGGAATCAAAGCGCTCCTCGGCCCTGTGTATTTTATAATTCATTGCATAGCTAAGTTGTGGAATATTTTTTTTTCCCCCTCTAACAAGCTTGAAGCCTTTTCTTCYGTATCTGAAGGAATATTATCCGAGGAGGCATTTGGGTAGGGGGGTTTAGGGACCCGCTGCTTTCCGTGTTTCCTTTGTCAGCCTCCCCGTGCCTTATTAGTATTGCGCTCCTGCRTTTCTTTCATATCGGAGCCCTCTGCAAATAAAATTTTCAAAAGCTGCTGCTCTCGCCACYGCGAGTGGCAGAAAATAAAAGATGATGGAGTCCTGGGGGGGTTTCAGCAGTCAGGTTAGCAAACATCGAGACAAAGAGTGGCACGGAGCCTTCCCCTAATTGAATCCCTGGTTAATTTGGTCCTTGGTTTAATTTGCCCCCTGCTCCAGACGGCGRAGGATTCTCACTGAAAACAGCCCAAAACGTGCTTATTTATTTTTTGTTTTGATCCTCGCCTGCCAGTGCTCCTGGATAATTCAGTCCCCAAAGGCAGGAGCTTGCTGGGGGAAGCTGGAGCCGGGGAATGCGGAGCCCCTGTAATTAGATGACGACTCCAAAGGGTTATTTAGATCCYGCAGTTGGCTTTGGCTGCTCGGCACAGGCTGGGACCTGCCCCAGCGTCGCCCACATCAGCTGCTCCTGTCGGCCCCCGAGAGACTCCGGACTTGCCCAATTTTTTTCCACTTGCCCGGTTGTTTGGGCATTTTTAATGGAGCTGAAATTCAAATCCGCGGAAAGCAGCGGTGGCCGCCCAGGTGTCTGCGGGATCTGGAGACTTGAGCTGCCTCAGTGCAACCCTGTCCCTAATTAAACCTGCCTGGTGCTGCTAATGGAGATTAGTGCAAGGAGAGGAGGCCTAATGCACTTTCCATCCAAGGCTTTGGCAAGGCTCAGGGGTTTTTCCTCTTAACTGGGTCTGGGAGTTGGGGAAGGGTGAGGAAGAGGAGGTTCTGGTTGTACTTTGTGGCAGCTTTTTTGTCAGGGAGCAGAACCAGTTGTTAGCCATCAGTCCTGATGCTGTGGTGAGGGATGGAGCAGGGATCCAGGGATGGAGCAGGGGTCCAGGATGGAGCAGTGATCCAGGGATGGAGCAGGGATCCAGGGATGGAGCAGCCATTGGCGCTTGTCCGCTGTGAATGGCGGTGGCAATCGCATGCTCAAAATTCTGCCAACCAAACCAGCCCCGAGAGAGCTCAAAAATCTCACTCCTGATGTGTTTTGTGCTTGAATTCCCCAGATTCSTCCCCGGAAGCACAGCCCAAGTACATCAAAGGTGGCAAACGCTACGGCCGGCGTTCCCTGCCRGAGTTCCAGGAGTCGGTGGAGGATTTTGCTGAGGTGACGGTCATCGAGCCACTGAGCGAGGAAACACATCCTGCACATATTGCTTCCAGCCAGGAGGTGAGCGGGGACTGGAGAGCTGATGGAATGGCATTGTCACCTCTGGGCATGGCTGTTCCCCCTATCCAATAGGTTTGGGATGTCCTTGGGGCAAAGGTCTCCCTCCTTGCCTGTCCCTAAGGTGGATGTGGGGTGGCTTTGTCACCTCTGGGCATGGCTGCTCTCCCCATCCAATAGGTTTGGGATGTCCTTGGAGCCTTCCCAGCAAAGGTCACCCTCCTTGCCTGTCCCTAGGTGGGTGTGGGGTGACTTTGTCACCTCTGGGCATTGCTGCTTTCCCCATCCAATGGGTTTGGATGTCCCAGTAGCAGCACTGGCTGCCCTCCTTGCCCATCCCTGGGGATCAGCCGTGCCAGCAGTGCCTCCCCTGCCCCGTGTGCTGTGGGAAGCCGGGAAGGAGCCGGGGATGACGCGCTCCTGGCGCCGCTGGCTCCTGGCTGCAGTTTGGGCCAGCAATTAAGCGCGGGCTGAGCCGCTGCCTCYGTGGCTAACGAGGTGTGGGCCGGGAGCAGACGGAGCACGTCCTCATCCATTAGTGCAGCTGCCAAAATCCGGCACAGGGGATGGGGAAAAGGGGTGGTGGGCGGCAGAGTCCGTGGCCAGCRGCCGCTTTGGCACGGCGGCATCTAATTGCTCCAAAAATGCGCATTCCTGGTTTTGTGATCCAGATTTGTGGCTCTCTTTGTGGCGGTGCTTTCAATCCCAGAATCTCCCCGTGCTGCCCCAGATGGGAAAGCCAAAGGGGYGGTTGGGGTTGGTGTGGTGTGTGTTCGAGTACGGCCGCAGCGGCATTTCCCCGGAGCTGGGCTGCTTCCAGYCTGCCCTGCTGTGCCAAGTATTGTTGATTCAGGAGCATGTGGTGGGAGTTTTTCCACTGGGAAGGAGAAGCGCTGCTGCTTTCCCCCTCCTCTGTCTCGTGGCTTCGCTGGGGAGTTGAGGGGGGGGCTCTACAGCCCCATTTGTAAGGGTGACACCCAGCCCAGCGTGGGAAAGCAAGGCAGGAATTTCCAGTTTCCAGGATTTCAGTGCTGTTCCTGTGCAGCTGAGCTTAAAAATGATAAAAAAAACCCAAACTGACACCTCAAAGGAAAGCTTTTCCACCACACCCAGCTGCTTTTCCCTGCTCCTGGTGACCTTTGCTCACCGCCACAGGGATGCTCATCCATCTCCTGGTGCTGACCACATGGGCTGCCCTGACCTTGGAATCGATGTTAATCCTCCCTCACTCCCCAGGGAAGGGATGTCCTTGGTGGAAGAGGCCACTCTGATCTTGCTCCTCGGTTTTAGCTGTCACGGAGGTGTGAAAGGGTAGTCTATTAACAAGGGTGGTTAATTAACCCAGCTGGTGTGTAGCCACGCTGTGCTGTGGGGGCTGGATCAGGCTCCTGCTGGGAATGCTTGTTGCACCTTTTGGGCTGACRGGATCGTTAATTCCCTCACAACCGGGGTGAAAAACAGGCTGAACTTGTGAAATCCCACTTTATCAGCGCTGCTATCTCATCTCCAAAGCAGATCCTCTTGGTATGCCTGGAAATGACTTTGCTGGAGGTGCTGAGGGGTCCCAGGGCAGTGCTGGAGGCTCCTGGTGCTCTGACTCTTTGGGATTTGTCCCAGGGCCAGCGCTTGCCTGGCTCTGTCCTGCTGTGTGTACAAACACGCCGGCGTTCCACGAGCCTGCCCCGGCCGGGCTGGCCCTGAGAACTGGGACAGGGTGCCTTAATTGCTGCTTGCTCTCAAGCAGTGCCAATTAAAAGGGCTCGGGCTCTGTCTGAGTTTTCCTTCCCTCCCTGCCCCCCTGAACACAGAGCAGAGGCTGCAGGGCTGCTTTGGGATCGGCTGCCTGGCCTCCATCCCCTGGGGTTTTTTGGGTGCTGCTGGGTCTGGGTTTGACATTGACCCTGCTGTGGGTAGGGGGTGGTGGTGGGATCCTGAGGGTCCCTCTGACCTGCAGGAGCTTGTCTCCGTGGGTGCTGGCTGTGCTGATTTCCAAACCTCACCTTAGGGAATCTGTCACCATCCCTTCCCAAGCCCTGCTCTGGGAAAGGTCCCTCCTGTTTGTAGGTTCATGGAACCTCAAAATAGTTGGGGTTGGAAAGGACCCTAAAGCCCATCTCATTCCAACCTTCTGCYSTGAGCAGGGACACTTCCCACTAGTTCAGATTTCTCCAAGCCCTATCCAACCTGGCCWTGAGGTTTTAGARCYCTCTGGCACATCGCAATTCTGTCCCTTCAGTCCCTGCTGGAGCCAGTCGCTCCCATCGTCTGTTCAAACATAGAATTGTTTCCAGCATGGCCTGGCCTTGATGCAAAACTTTTTAGGAGGCTGGGGTTGAAACTCTGGGATTTTGGGTGCTTGATGTGAGGCTCCCACAGTGGGACTGTCCCAGAAAGCCAGGATTTGTGGGAAACAGCTCAGGATGGAGTCTGCTCCCAGAAAAAGTGCATTACTGGTGTGAGCGGTGCTTTGGAGCTGAAGGCACCTGGCAGAGTGAGGTTTGACAGATTTTTTTGGGGTCTGTGCTCCACCCAGGGAGCTGATCCGTGGATCTGGGAAGAAGGGGATCCATCACSGGGGCCGGGGCTCACCTCGTGCTGCTCGACGCGCGCTCCTGATTGCCATTTTAATTAGCACTATATTCCAATGAGAACAAAGGTCTGTCTGGCTGGAGCAGATGGCAGGGGGGAGAGGTGGCTGCCCCCCGTTCGGGGCAGGCCGGGCAGCCCAGGCCCCTGCATTGAAAGCCGCGGCCATCTGCTCCGCGGGCYGGCCGAGCACGCGCCTCGCCCAGGGTCAGGCGTTGCCGGGGTCCCCCCGAGTGACCCGTGGGCAGCTGGAGCTCTGCTGGGACTGGCCAACAATGGGCACCCGACAGCGCCGTGTCCTGGCCCTGCTTTGTCCCCGAGCCAGCGGTGGCCGACCCCGAGCCCCGGCGCACAAAGGGAGCCCGAGCCCTGTGTGGGAGGGAGGGAGGTCACAGCCACCCCAGAGCCCCCCTGGCTTTGTTCAGCCTCTTCAGGTTGTTGGTRTTGGTGGAGTTGTTGTGRTTTCAGAGAATCCCAGAATKGTTTATGTTAGAATGGAGTTTAAATCCTATCCCATTCCACTCTTTCCCCTATCCCACGGTGCTCCAAGTCACATTCAGCCTGACCTGGAATGCTCCAGGGATGGGACAGCAGCAGCTTGTCTGGTTTTGCAGCAAGCCSTTGAACTGAGGGGATGTGGTGCTAAATTAATCTGATTCTGTATAGAAATATAAATGTTGCTTATGCAAAAAGGCTTGGACCCAGAGGATGTGCCTGTGAGGATCGGTGCCAGGCTCCCCTCAGTGTCCCTAAGGATGAGGATGGTGGCTGCAGGGTGGTGTCTCTGGCACCCAGACCCTCTCTGTGCACAGTTTTCTGCATTTTCAGGTGGCAGTTTTGTGGAATCCCAGAATGATTYAGGTTGGAAGGGASSTTAAATTTCATCCAGTGCCATCCCTGCCATGTCAGGGACACCTTCCACTGTCCCAGGCTGCTCCAAACCCTGTCCAGCCTGGCCTTGGGCACTGCCAGGGGCAGCCACAGCTTCTCTGGGCACCCTGTGCCAGGGCCTCATCACCCTCATTATAAAAACCTTCCAGGGATGGGATTTGGTGTCACCTGTTGCCTCAGCTCCTGCGATGCTGAGGGCCCTCGCCTGGTCCTGCAGCCGAAACGGGAACAGGCAGCCGAGCTAAAAAAAGTCCTGCGACCTAATCCAGTTTCCATGGCAACGTTGTAGATTAATGGCTTTTCGCTGTAATCTGAATGAGACGTATTGAACTTTTCTGGGATGATTTAGAGCCTCTTTATGTCCTGGGTGACTTTGGTTCCAAATCCATCGGTCACGTGCGGCTGGGAGGATCCGCTCATACGCAACATCTGCCGCTGCTACAGCAGGAGGTGATGCTGTGGAGCATCACGTGGGAGCAAATACCCRGGCTGCTACAAGGGTGGCAGGGATGAGAATTCGTGTAGTACATGAGGAAATCACCTTAAAGGCTGTGCTTTTGCTCCTGGTGCTGCCAGAGGGAGTGGGATGGCTCAAAACCACCAAAGAGTGGGGTTTTTTATCTTTTCTAAACTCAGTGAAGAGCTTGTTGACAGCACAGCTCTCTCCTGATACAGAGCTGCAGTGAGTGGAGGAGTTTGGTTTGAGTTTGGGGCAAAACGGGGTTGTGGAAGGAAAGGATAACCCAGGCAATGGCTCTGTGCAGCCCGTGATCTCCCCTGCAGCCCCATCCCCTCAACCATCAATACCTTAAAAGCAGCAGGATTTGCTTGGAGGGCAAATCTCTCCCCAGAACCCTGCTAGGCTCTGATCTGTCCCCCTCTCCTGGCTCATTTGTGGGCTTTAGACATCTCAGTGGTTTCTCCCCGCCCGAGARCCGCACGTGCCAGAACAAGGCAGGATCAAAGAGCCCTGGATTCCCAGCCCAGCCTGCAGGGAGCAGGGAGATGAAAGCCTGGCGGGGTTGCTGGAGCCCTGCAGCTCCTTGGATGCTGATCCCAGAGTCTCTTTCATTCAGGCCATGTCTTGCAATAGTAATAACTCAGTAACCTTTTGTTTTCTCCGCAGCATTGGAAGACGCGAGGCAGCGAGGAGTACGAGGCTGAGGGTAAGAGCAGAGAGCAGTGCCTGCATGTGCCTGTTCTCATTTCAGCTTTGAAATGGATCAGAGGAGCATGTGGAGAGGCTCTCTGGGGGTGTGGAGCATCTCTGGGGCAGAGCTCAGAGRGTGCAGGTGGAGCATCCCCCAAGCTGGGAGTTAACACAGGGCACGTCTTGTGCCTTACCCTCTCTGCCCTTTTTGTCCATCTGTGGGTGTTCTGGGCTCCCTGACCTCTGTCCTGGTCCCCACTGTTGTCCCAGGGGGGCTCTGGCTGTAGTGGAGCCTGGTGGGCACTAGATGTCAGCAGGGACCAGTCATTAAATGTTCCCTAATTGTCACAGAATTAGGAAATCACCGTTTGGGTTGGAAAGGGACCTTAAAGCCCATCCCATTCCACCCCTGCCATGGGCAGGGACACTTTCCACTGTCCCAGGGTGCTCCAAGCCCTGTCCAACCTGGCCTTGGGCACTGCCAGGGATCCAGGGGCAGCCACAGCTTCTCTAGGCATCCTGTGCCAGTGTTTTGCCATCTTCATAGTAAAAAAAACTCTTCCCTTTAATTCGACCAACACCTCTCGCATATTTCAGCTCCTTTCTGACCCTTTCCACATCCAAAGGGGCCAACTTTTTTCTCTTAAAGCTGCTCTTGCAGCTCCCGTTATCCCAGGGAAGGAGGGGTCCCTTTTCCATCTCTGCCAGTGGCTGAGGCAGCAGAGCTGCCCTTTCCTGGCCACCAGCCCATCTTGGCCTTCAGACTAATCCACATTCCCAGAGATCCTCCTGGCCACAGGCCCATCTGCTGGTCACTSTGCACCTGGGAGTCCCCATTCCTGGAAGGATTAAAAGCCACGTGGATGTGGCACTTGGGGACACGGGGCAGTGGTGGCCTTGGCAGGGTTGGAGGAACAGACTCAATGGTCTTAGAGGTCTTTTCCAACCTCAGCAATTCCATGATTTTGTGGGCACAAGGTTCCTTTCCCTGTGGTGGCACACGTGAGTGGAATGCTGAGCAGAACCATTCTGGTGGACGCTGGTGCTGCTGGGATTGGGGTCCATACCCCAAAACTCCAAACGTGCTCTGAGCAGGGTAATCTCAGCCAAATGATCCCATGGGATCTGCTGAGCCAGGAAGGAGCTCTGCCCAGCACAGCAGCAGATCTGTGGGATGCAGAACCCCCAGATCTTTTGGTGATCACTGCAGCCACCGGAGCCATTTCCCCGTTTTCCAGGACAGCTGCGCTTCTGGAACCCGGATGACCTGAACGCCTCCCCTGGYGCCTCACCGAGCCCAGACTGGATCGAGGAGAAACTCCAGGAGGTTTGTGAGCACCTGGGGATCACCAGGGATGGCCACCTGAACAGGAAGAAGCTGATTTCCATCTGTGAGCAGTACGGGCTGCACGCGGCTGCTGGGGAGGTGAGCAGCCAGCTACGGACCCATCCCATCACTGCCCTTTGGGATTTGATCCTAAATCCTTTCTGGGGCTCACCACAAGCTCGGGTTTCTGCTTGGGAAGGAGTTTCCAGCTCCAGCTCCTGGTTTTCCTGCAAGGTTTTTGGTGTCAAACTATCAGGCTGCTCTAGGAGAAGACTGAGCCGTGGTGTGCGTGTCCTTTCATGCAAACACAGAGGAAAATGGAATTTTAAAACATGGCTTGGATTCCAAGCATGTCTCCTTAATCCTGGGAATCTTCTAGCTAGACAGCAAATATGGGTTAAATATTCATGGGTGCTTGCTTTTGACTTTGTGAAGGCCTCCAGGCTGTTTCTGTCCTGCAGCGAGAGCCCACGAGAAAATGAATTCTTCAGAAAAAAAAAAAGGCTCTTGTCAATTTAGGATTTAGTTTTATTAAAAAAGTCCAACTTTTTGCATCTTAAGATAATATGGCTTGTCATAATTTCCTCCACAGAACATGTTTCTGAGCAGGTATTCATTTGCAGCGTCCACGGTGAAATGTTTGCAGGGTATTAAAGCAGAAAATGGAAAAGATAAGCTGTAGACAAAGAAATAGTGAAGGACTAATCTGAACATCTCCAGTCCTGCTTTTGAGAAAGCAGCATGCCCTGAAGCAGAAAACAGATTTATGATAACCTTGCAGTGTCTTAGGGTATTTTTTTTTGTGCCTGGTCACTTCAAGCTGCTCAGGGTTTGGCATCTGTCTCAATACCTTGAGCTGAGTTCCTGAGGGCACTGTCTCGGAAGCAGAGTGAAATGAGGTTTTTTTCATGCTGCCTCATTAAACAGCGGCTCCAGGATGACCAGGAGTTTTTTTCCTTGTTCTGTGTGTGTCTGCAGTTTTCCATATGGAGATTAGCCAGGTAACTCTGGCTTTGCTCTTTTTTGAGCCTTGGGAACAGGATGTTTCCTCTGGATATTTCCAGATTTTTTCCTTCAGTGGTTTGGCCTTTTTCATGATTTCTGTCTCCTTGCAGGTGCTTGAGGAGGTGCTCCATAACCTGGAKCAGGATGGGACCATGAGCATCGAGGATTTCTTTTATGGCCTGTTTAGAAACGGGAAATCTCTGACCCCTTCAGCATCTACTCCGTACCGGCAGTTGAAACGGCACCTCTCCATGCAGGTGGGAAACTGAGAGCTGAACCCTGGGCTGGAAGGAGGGGAAGAATTCCTCAACAATTCCCACCCAGCCTGCCTCCTCCTCTTCATCTCCATTTGTCCCTGGAGGGGCAGCTCTGAGGGTCCCCCTGCCCCATGGTGGCAATGAGCTGCTGCTCCAAAAACAGATTTCAAATTCTCTCTCAGAAAAAATCTCTTTTGGGGGAGATAAAGCAGGAAACAAACACCCTCATGGTAAAGAGGACTTCTTTGAAAATGTGATTTGGAGAGAGCTCTGGCAACCTGTGGAGTGCAGTAAGGAAATGGTGGAGACTCGTAGAATTCCAGCATGGGTTGGAGGGACCTTAAAGCTCTTTCCACCCCCTGCTATGGGCAGGGACATCTCCCACTATCCCAGGCTGCTCCAAACCCTCTCCAACCTGGCCTGGAACACTTCCAGGATGGGACATTTCAATATAAATTGAATGCAGGGGGAAGTGGTGCCTTGGATAGGCTGTGGACATACACATCCCACATATTTTCCCCAATTATTACTTATTTTTCTGAGAGATTTTGAAATCTGCTCCCTGTCTTTGCCTGGAAGCTGAGGGCTGTACCCAAAGCACCTCTGCAAGTGCTCCCTACAGCTCCTTCAGGGAAGGTGACTCTCCAAACCAGAAGTGAACAGTGGCACACCCTTCTGGAGCATTGAGGCCAGCTCTGAAGCTGCTCCTGCTGGGATTTATTTTAAATCCTGGTTGTGCCCCGGTGCTGTGAGGTCAGCGGCGACGCTCCTGCCAGGTTTTTGCTTGGCAGTGAGGAAAAGCAGCCCTTAATCCTTAATCTSTGGAGCAGTTGTAGGGAAATTCCATCGATGAACCCTTCTGGGCACTGCCTTTGCCCTGTCACACCCCAATCTCTCTTGCAGTCCTTCGAYGAGAGCGGCAGACGCACCACCACCCCCTCGGCCATGCCCAGCACCATCGGCTTCTCCCTCTTCTCCAGCCTGGATGATGGCATGGGCTACGGCTGTGTGGAGGGGGTGCTGGATTGCTGGCACCAGGAGGGCATYGAGAACAGCCAGGAGATCCTCAAGGTAACCCCCAGCTCCTTCTCACCCCTTATTATGTGTATTTTTTTCTCCCTGTGTCAGTAGCTGAGTTATTTTCTTCCCTGTCAAAATCCCTGGTTTTTTTCCTTTTTAAAACTTCCACAGAGAAGCTGCTCCATCTCTGGAAGTGTCCAAGGCCAGGTTGATTGGGGCTTGGRGCAGCCTGGGATAGTGGAAGGTGTCCCTTCCCRTGGTGGGGGCTGGAACTGGATGATCAGATCTGTTCCAACCCAAACCATTCTATAATTCCATAAAAATTTCCAGTGTTAGTGAMAAGAGTTCTTGGAAATTTCCAATAATTCCCTTTATGGTGCATCCCCAAGAATCGAAGCTAATGATAAAAATACAACATGATTTCCAGCTGAGCTCGAAGAGGTCACCTACATTTGTTAGGAAGCAATTTAATTCCTTTCCCTCCCTGAATAGCTGCACCTGCAAACCTCTCAGCACCAGGGTGACCTGAATTATTGCTGAGGTGGAGGACAGCACTTGAAACCCTACCCAGTCCTCAGGGTTCCATTAGGCAGAGTTAAAGGGTGGTGAGGATGAAATCAGGTACCTGGATAAATCCACCTCTCAGTGTTCCATTAATTAGAAGTAAAGGGTGGTGGGGATGAAATCAGGTACCTGGATAAATCCATCACTCAGTATTCCATTAAAGGGTGGTGGGGATGAAATCAGGTACCTGGATAAATTCCACCCCTCAATATTCCTTTAAAGGGTGATGGGGTTGAAATCAGGTACCTGGATAAATCCATCCCTCTGTGTTCCATTAAAAGGTGATGGGGAGGAAATCAGGTGCCTGGATAAATCCACCCTCAGTATTCCATTAATTAGAATTAAAAGGTGGTGGGATGAAATCAGGTACCTGGATAAATCCCTCCCTGTCCATCTCATTAGAAGCTGTGGATAGGAAAAGATAATTTCACATGACTGACAGTGATGGCTGTGGTTCTCTTGACTTTTAAATATCCACGTGGACAGAGCATATCCAGGCTGTTAACCTCTGCCATTGCTCAGGCTTTATAACCCACCCGTGACCTTGAAGAATTTGAGAAGGTGGGACCACCTTCACCAGACTTGTGTGTCCACCTTCACTTTGTTGCTTTCCACTGAAAAATTKCTTTGTTTGGTGTCCCTGGGGTGGTTTCTCCAGAGGCTGCAGCATTTCAGYCCCACCACAAACRCTTTGCTTTATGCTCCTGCAGAGTYRGGTCCAATCATKGAACCACTGAGGTTGGAAAAGACCTCWAAGGTTGAGTGTAACCATGGAATTAGCACTGCCTTTTTCACCACTGAKCCCTGTCCCCAGGTGCCACATCCATATGGGTTTTGAACATTTCCAGGGAATGAAAGGGCCTTTTTTCAAGGCCAGGGCTAGGAGCAGCATGGGATAATGGAAAATGTCCCTGCCCATGGCAGGGGGTRGGRCTGGRTGGGCTTTGGGGTCCCTCCCATTCTGGAATTCTATGAAATTCCAAGCAGTTGTTGATGATAACTTGCTTTGTAGGAGGTGGGAGATCCTCGCCATCAATCCCTCCTGCAGGGCTGCTCCTGCATTGCCTCTTCTGACAAGAACATCTCCATCAGCAACTGATCTGTGATAAGCCTGGTGTTGATAGATCCTGCAGGGGCAATGAGTGCATTTCACCAAGCCTGGGCTTCATTTCCTGCTGGCCTTGCAGACAACCAGAACACTTCCCATCTCAGTGCAGGGAGGTGGCAGACATGGCTGCTTTACGGCCCTCAGGGAATTTGTGACAGATTAATTAGCGAGCCAAGCTCTCTCATGCATCTCCTCATTTTTCCCTGTCAATCCCTGTCCAAACATCTCCAGGCTGCTGCAGGAAGCTCATTCTGCTCTAAAGATGTGCTGTATCCACAGGCTCTGGACTTCAGCCTGGATGGRAAGGTGAACCTGACAGAGCTGACGTTGGCACTGGAGAATGAGCTGCTCATCACCAAGAATGGGGTGCACCAGGCAGCCCTGGCCAGCTTCAAAATGGAGATCAGGCACTTGATGTGAGCCAGGGGATGGCTGGGAGAGGGTGATGGGTGCTCCCAGGGTGCTGGTCCTTATCCTGGTTATCTCTGATGGAGGGCTTAGAGACTTCTTGTTATGCCTGGAAAAATGTTCAATCTTCCAAGGATTGCAGAGAAATGGAGTTGAAAAGTAAAAAGGGGAAGCAGCAGGCTGTTYCCAGTCTGGGAGTGGTCACTGCTGTCCACAGTGGTCACTGATGGCCAAGGAATGCACAGCTCAGGGCAGAGGCTGGTGGAGTTTTGTCAGTACCTTTAATCCAAGCTGATTTGGGGCATTGCAAAGGTTTTGCCATGGGATGGTGTGAGGGTGAGGAGCAAAACCATGGTAAATCTCCATATTTTCCCTTTGAAAGTCAGCACAGTTTGACTTCGTGCTGGACTTGCCATGTAAGTTTCTCTGTTGAAAAAGAAGATTCCAGGGAGATCTTAAAGCCCCTGCCAGGGTTCCAAAAGGGCTGGAGAGGGACTGGGCACAGGGGATGGAGGGACAGGACACAGGGAATGGCTTTCCATTGCCAGAGGGCAGGGATGGATGGGATCTGGGGAAGGAATTGTTCACTGTGAGGGTGGGGAGGCCCTGGCACAGGGTGCCCAGAGAAGCTGTGGCTGCCCCTGAATCCCTGGCAGTGCCCAAGGCCAGGCTGGACACTGGAGCTTGGAGCACCCTGAGACAGTGGAAGGTGTCCCTGCCATGGTAGGGGGTGGAACAAGATGATCTTGGAAGTTCCTTTCCAGCCCAGACCATTTCAGGATTTGAATGGGGTCTGGATCACAGCTGAGGATCTCAACTGTTGAGGTCTCAGAATCTGTGGGGATACCAAGACATGTCCAGAGCTATTAGGGTACAGGTTCAAATCCAGTGATTTAATGCAATTGATAAAACCCTTGGAAATCTTTCCAAGCTTCTCCTCTGATTTCAAACATCCTTTTTGGGGATCAGTGAGGGCTGACCTAATCCAGCACGGCTCTGCCCTGCACAGGGAGAGGTTTGACCAAGTGGCCAGGGAGAAGGAGAAGCTTCGGTCAGACCTGGAGAAGGCAGAGAAGCTGAAATCCCTGATGGCCTCRGAGGTGGACGATCACCACGCCGCCATTGAGCGCCGCAACGAGTACAACCTCAGGTATGGTGTCCCAATCATCATTTCCTTCTTGGCACCACTGCCCTGGCATTGCAGGGACTTTGTGGCCACCCAGCTTCACCCCCAGCAGCATTTGCCACCCTTAACAAACTCCCTCCCCTYGGGTGCCCTGGCAGGAAGCTGGACGAGGAGTACAAGGAGCGCATCGCCGCTCTGAAGAATGAGCTTCGCAGAGAGCGGGAGCAGATCCTGCAGCAGGCCAGCAAACAGAGGCTGGAGCTGGAGCAGGAGATTGAGAAGCTGAAAACAGATGAGAATTACATCCGGGATCGCCTGGCCCTGTCCCTGAAGGTAAGGGGGCTAAGCAAAGCTGGGATTTCCCCCAAAAAAGCAGGGATGCCCTGAGAGGGGAGCGACATTTGCAGTGTAGTCCTTGCTGAGAGGATGAGTTATGAGTGTTGAGCTGGCCAAAAGCCATTTAAACAGCAACACAGGTGTGTCCATGAGAATCTGAGATTTGGTGTTTGGGGCACTTTAATGGATTTGGTGTTTGGGGCACTTTTCCATGGATTCCTAATCTCCAGTTCAAATCTCTGCTGCCATCAAGTGCAGAGTGTGCGTGTGCACAGCTCTCGGATGAGCTGTCCAGCCAGGAGATAAAGCATCTTGATCAAGTTTAAAGTATTGGTTTAAAAACAACTAAACAAGCAAAATAACCATCTAAAGCAACTTGCTGCTAAGCTTTTTGTTAAATTATATCAATTCCAGTGTGTCATGGCAGGTGTGGGTTGTGTGTGGATGGATTTATAATTCCTATCATCACCTGAAGTCATGCTCTGACTTGATTGGGAGTTACCCTTATTTTAGTGTCTTAGCACATGCTGATTTTTCCTCCTCCAAAAAACCCTTGTTTGGGGTTTGGAGGTTTTTTTGGGTTTTTTTTTTAGTGTGTTTTTTATTTCTTAGCTTGTTTTTTGGGTTTTTTTTGTTTGTTTTGGTTGGGGTTTTTTTGTTTGTTTGTTTTTGGTGGGATTTGGTTTTTTTTGTGGTTTTTTTGTTTTGTTTTGTTTTTTTTTGTTTGATCCAGGAAAACACCCGCCTGGAAAACGAGCTGTTGGAAACAGGAGAAAAACTGGCCGAGTGTGAAAGCCTGGCAAGCAAACTGCAGAGGAACTTGGAAAATGTCCTGGCTGAGAAGGTAAATCCTCCTTTTCCCACTGGGCTTCCAGGATTCAGTCACTTTGAAGTTACTACACTCGAGCTGCCAGTTTTACTGATATCCAGAGGCWTTTGGGGTCCCTGTGCAGATTATCCAGGCACAGCCTGCCTGCCAGCTAAGGAAAATAAAGATATTCCACCTTAGCTGTAATTTTATTCTAATTAAAGCAGTGGGCCTTACAGTGAGGCAATCATCCTGCAGATCTGCAGGGATTTTTTTTTTTCCCCCAGCATAGTTTTGGATAGACCCGACTTGCAGATCCTTTCCAGGGAATGTGATGCAGGAGGAGTGAGATATTCCATGGCTTTTCTGCTGGAATTAGGTGAAAATCGAGGTGAACAGCTGATCATGGCTGTATTACATTAAACTTTTCAGAATATCAGCTTCTCCAAAGTTGTTTAATTTATGTATCCATAGCCACAGGTTCATGTACTGGGATTTCCACTCATCTGTTTTCCAGCCTTTTTTAAAGCTTGGAATTATTTATCACACTGAGATGTGCGTATGCTAAGATAGAAATCTGTGCTCTGGAATTGGACTGAGCACAAGAGCTGTGCTAGGTGGCAGACAGCTTTTTGGGAAGCTGCTCATTCCCTGTTAGCAGGAAAGTGGAGTTTCTTTATTAAAAATAAAATCCCTGAGTGGAGAGAGGATGCAGGCTGCAGAACTGCCTGGAATGGCATCAGTGCTGTACTGAGCAGGGCTGTGGGGTGGATGGATAACTGGATATTTCATTTCTTGTTTCAGTTTGGGGACCTGGATCCCGGCAGTGCTGAGTTTTTCCTGCAGGAGGAGAGGCTGGCCCAGATGAGGAGCGAGTACGAGCAGCAGTGCAGAGTAAGCAGAGCCACACCTGGCTCCTGTATCCACATGGAACATCATRGAACTGTGAAAAATCCCTCCCAGATTAAGTCCAACCATTCCCCCAGCCCCAAGTGCCACATCCTTGCTACAAACAGCAGCACAGAGAGGGTTGGAAAGCTCTTTCCAGRGGTGACTGGCTGAACTAAGAGGATGAGGTGCCCCCAGGGTGGGCTGGGAGAGGGTCCATGGAGCCCTGTGAATTCAGAGTTGCAGGAACTTAGAGGAGAAATGAAATAGATCCACATTTTGCTGGTTTTCAGACCAGAAATGTTTCCTTTAAATAAACCTGAGACTAGAAAGTTTGTCTTCTCCTCTATCTTATATACTTGAAAGTTTTTAAGGTGAGCCTGCAGGTTTTCTATTTACACATCTGCTTTGATGCCTGCACAGGTTCCAGGCCATCTGTTGCCCTGAGAAGCTGTGGCTGCCTCTGCATCCCTGGAAGTGTCCAAGGCCAGGCTGGACAGGGCTTGGAGCCTGGAGCAGTGGAAGGTGTCCCTGCCCCTGGCAGGGGTGGAACAAAATTATCTTTAAGGCCCCTTCCAACCCAAACGATTTTGTGATTCTGTGATCTTTTTTCCATGATCCTTTTTATTCAATAAAGGGCTGCCTTTTCAAAAGGCTCTTTGATTGGAAACAGCACAGCAGCTCTCTGAGGAAGCTGCAATTTAAAAGCAGAAATTGCCTAGAAATAGGTTTTGAATCTATACTCCTTGATATGCAGCTGACTTTTCTATTTTTGAGGATGGCAGATATGAAGCAGTACCCAAGGTTCACTTCCTGGGCCTTTCAGGCATGCAGGATTCCGTGTTTGCACATTCAGGGAGTTGTTTTCCCCAATAACTGCTGCTCCTGGAGCGGAGTGCACTGCACTTGGCACAGACACGGGGGATGTTCCTCTGGCAGGCAGAAGGACCAGATGGTAAATGCAGTAATGAGGGGATCTCTTTCCTCATTCCATCATCTGCTTCTGATTCGATTTTTCAAGTAGATGGTGTTTGAGGAGGCATTTCCCAAGTGTTGGAAAATGTTAYTCAGCTGCTTTTTAATAAAAGGTCACAGGAAGAAGGAATAAAGGGAGAGGTTTTGGAGTGTGTTATACCTTCACCTGTGAGAGTCTGGTATTGTAGAATCATCAGAGAATCCTGGAATTGTTTGATTGGAAGGGACCTTAAAAACCTTATTCCACCTCCTGTCATGGGCAGGGGAACCTTCCACTGTCCCAGGCTGCTCAAAGCCCTGTTCAACCTGGCCTTGGGCACTGCCAGGGATCCAGGGGCAGCCACAGCTGCTCTGGGCACCCTGTGCCAGGGCCTCCCCACCCTCCCAGCCAGGAATTCCTTCCCAATATCCCATCTAACCCTGCCCGCTGGCAGTAGGAAGCCATTCCCCCTTGTTTTGCTGATAGGAGGATGACTGGCACTATGGATTAGACAAATCTTTCCCTGTTGCAATTCCCACCCGAATATCCCGTGGTGGCACTGGGTCGATTCTCAGCCACCCTGATTCCTTTCCCTCAGCCTTTTTTCCTCCTCCATCTCTCAGGAGCTGCAGGACCAGATTGATGAGCTGCACTCAGAGCTACAGGAGTACCGTGCCCACGGCAAAGTGCTCCGACCTCCCCTGAAAAATTCCCTGTCAGAAGAGTTTGACTTTGACATGAAGAGTCATGGCAACGGTGGGATCGAGCCTGACCAAGGTAAATAAACATCTCCTGTTGGACTGGGATCTGTGCTGTGGGTGTTTGTAACATCTTAGAGGTAATTCCATGAAAACCTTCCCAGTGAGGCTTGGTCACCACCCCTGTTTTGGTGTTTAATGTTCATTTGGAATCTGCTGAACTCTGAAGCTGAAATTAGTGTTTGCAGTTACTTGCCTTTGTGATAGGAGTTTGAGAGCTGCTAAACAAATTTAAATAATTCTGTTGATGATTATATATATGTATTGTGTAATTAGTGTTTTTATGGTTGTATATATTATTGGTTGTATGGTTATATATATTATTGGTTATATGGTTATAATATATATTATTTTCTAATTGCTGTTTCTAAAGGACTCGGTTCGGAAGACTGCAACCCATTAAATATGAGCATAGAGGCAGAAATGGCCATTGAGCAGATGAAGGAGCAGCACCACAGGGATCTGCATCACCTCAAACAGGAGCTTGAGGACACAGTGAGTRTTGGAATGAGAGGGTCTTTAGGGTCCCTTCCCACCCAARCCATTTTGGGGATTCTGTGAKCCCAGTAAGAAATAAAGCTGAACACTTCGATTTCCTTGGAATGAATGTTCTTGTAAGATGCTGAAGTGTGAATCAAAATATTCAGTAAAATAAATATATATACCTATATAGGAAAACATCTCTATAGAATATTCTGTGGAAAATTAACAAATCGATCCTGTTTTCCCTTCTGCAGGTGAGCCATTATGAAAAGCAGCTGGATGAGACAAAAGCCCAYTGGGAAAAGGAGCAGGAGGATATGAGGCAGAAGTACACTGAGGAGATGAATGTCATGGAGGAGCAGATCACTGKCCTTAAAAATCAAATAGCAGAGCTGCAAGGAGAGGCTGCAGTGCTCAGGGAGCAGCAGGAAAAGCTTGACTGTAAATACAACGAGGAGAAAAACAAATTGCAGCTGCATTTCGATGAGGAAAAAGCCAACCTGCAGGAACTGCTGAGGCAGGAGCATGAAGATGATGTCAGGGCCAGGCTGGAGCAGGTGAACGAGAAGTTCAGGCAAGAACGGGAGGAGCTGATCCAGAAGAGCGTGTGGGTGGAGGAAAAGATGAGAGTCCTGGTGCAGAGTCTGCAGGAGGAGAAGGGGGAGCTGGAACGGGGCTTCCACGAGCAGGTGAAGAGGCTGGCAGAGATGCACGCCCTGGAGAAGGAGGAGCTCCAGGAAGAGCTGCTGAGGAAGCACCAGCAGGAGCTGGAGGRGGAAAGGTGAGTGTCACCTCTGGTGGGGACAGCAGTGGAGTTGGTGACCAGGGTGACCTGAGTGCAGAAAYGCTTCCTTGGTGTGTAATTCCCAGTATCCTGACCCCACACTGCTGTTCCCTGCTCTGTTCCACAGCACTGGGTTGCTCTCCAGGGTTTTTTTCTCTTCTGACCTTTCTCAGGTCGATATTTGTATTCRTTTTTAGCTCTCCCAGAGGCAACAATAGTGTTAAAGCATAACCAGGCGTGATTAACTYGAGCTCTGAGCAGGATCTCTGTGCTCCACAAATCCCTGCTTGGTCCTTTTAAAACTTGTGGGGTTTCAGAGTTCTTTGCTAAAGAAGGAAGGGGGTGGCTGGGAAGTGCTTTTAGCCACCATTGAGTGTCAAAAGAAACTGAAACCATCCTRGGGTGATGGGGGTGAGACTCCCCCCAAAATCTGAGCACAGGAATTGAAGGGCACATGTTGCACATGGAACCTTTTCCAAGGATGTTTCATGAGTTGTTAACACTTTTCCAAGGTAGTTTTTCTTCATGAAGATTCACCAAATTGCCTCAAATCTAAATCTGGCTCCTAGATACACCCATCAATAGTAAAAAAAAAACTCAGTAAAAAAAAAAAAAGGTTTTCCAACTTATTTTGTTCAGCCTAAAAAGCCACTTTAATTTCTGAGGTAGTGTAGTAATATCTTATGTTAACCATATTTAGGAAAACCATGGCCAGTGACTATAACAGAAGAGCATCTCATGCCCAAACTCAGTTTTCTGAGGACACACAAACTCTTGTGAATAAATATGAAGCATCTCTCCAGAGCCTGGAAGGACGTTACCAGCGAGAGCTGCAGGAGCTCGCTGAGCAGCAGAGAGAGGAGAAATCCCAGTGGGAATTTGAGAGGGATGAAATTGCTCAGGAGGCTGCTGAAGCCCACGAGCAGCTGAAGGAAAGMTTGGCCAGTGAAAAGGCTGTTTCTTCTGCCCTGAGCCAGGAGAAGGATCTCCTGGAGAAAAACTTCAAGGAAGAAGTGAACAAGCTGGTGTGTGAGAAGGAGCAGCTGCAGAAGGAGCTGCGAGAGCTGAGGGATGCTGCCTGGGAGAGGGAGGAAAAGCTGAATGAGAAAATAACTCAACTCCAAAATGACCACAAAAATGAGCTGAAGGAGAAAGATGAACACGTATCCACAGTGGAGCAAAATGGGAAGCTGTTTAAGGAAAAGCTGGAGAGACTGGACAGTGAGTAYAAGCAAGAGAAGGAAGAGCTCAATTCAAAGCTCCTTGCCTTGGAGAGTTTRAACAAAGACATTTGTGAAAGAGCAGAGACAGAAAAGGCCGAGATGAGTTTGGAAATCTCCGACCTCCGAGGGAAAATACAGAAATTGCAGTGGGAAACACAGAGTTTTTCYGCCCTGCAGAGCCATTACAGGGTCCTGGAGAGCGAGTACGCGAAAGCCAAGAGCCAGCTCGCTGCTTTCCCTGGARCAGCTCCTCTGGGAGAGGACGGGGATGTTCTCCAAAACCTGCAGAAGGTGCACGAGCAGGCGGTGAAGGAGAATGTCAGGATGGCTGCTCACATCCTGAGGCTGCAGCACCGGCTGGATGCAGCGGAGCGGGAGCGACCTCCCAGTCCCGGCTGCTCCCGCTGCGGCTCGGAACCGGAGGAGATGGATGCCAGCTTTGAAGGGTTACCCAGGGATTGCCAAGATACGGCCACGGGAGCAGATTTCAGTGCCCTTCCACCTTTGGAGGGTGATGCTACAGATCTGGAAGAAATGTCAGAGATGGATTCGGATTTGGAGAAGGGATGTGTGACAGCCAGAGCTGGCGGCCACCCTGAGGCACAGGAGTGTTGGATCCAAGGAAATCAAACAGCTCTGGATGCTGATGGCAGCCAGGATTGTGACAAGAACCAAGAGCTCCTTCCCTGGGGGCCTCTGCTGCCAAAAATGAGAGATCTGGAGAAAGTTCCCAGGCCAAAACCGCTACACAACRATATCAAACAGCAGAAGGTTCATCCACTATATCACAGGATAGCTCCCAAAAATCAAGGGTTTGTTTCTGATGCTTTGAAGCTGCAGGTGGAGCTGGAGAAGGCTGAAGAACTGAGCGAAGCCTCTGTCCTGTTGGATCACACTCCTGGAGCAGCAAATGGTGACCTGAAGAGTGTCCTAGCTCAGCTTTGGAAAAGGGTGGAAGAGCTGGAAGACAGATCCATGGCYCAGGCTGAGCTCCTGTCACTGCAAGAAGAAATTCAGATGGAAAACGAGGATCTGAGAGCTGAAATGATCCARTTAATTGAAAAAAATAAAGCCCTGGAAGACAATCTGCACAGGCTGAGAAGGCTTCATTGTGAACAAGAAGAAAGTGAGGTGGAAAGCGTGAAGTTTGAAAAGGAGAACACCGAGTTCCTCCAGAAGGTTGAAGGGTTGGAAGATGCTGAAGGGTTGGAAGATGCTGAAGGGTTGGAAGATGCTGAAGGGTTGGAAGATGTCCAATATGCTCAAGGAAACGCAGATGTGCCCGGTGCCACAAGAGGTGGGACAATGGAAGAACATCCCACTGCATTTACGGGCCAGCGGGACAAGAACGCCCAAAGCGCCAGCGCAGTGATGGAAGCAGGAAAAGCACGAATGGGCGATCCAAAGGCAAAGGAGGAGGCTCTGGGTCACCCAGAGGCAGAGGAGAGGAAGGCAGTGACCCAGGGCCTGCAGAGCACGTGCACCGAGCTGCAGCACAAAGTTGTCCTGCTGAGGTAACGTAACCCGGCGTAGCCACTAACCCAGCGCTGCCTCGGCTGCTCCTTTAACCACCGTAGCTTAACTCTGCCTTAGCTCTGAGTAGCAAACAGTGCCATGGACTCCTAACTCCTCTAATCCTGGATAAAGAGCACTGGAATAAATAACTTCCAGTGTGTGGCTTACTCCTCTCTGTGCCYGCCACCTAAGCAGGAGCGCCTGCCAGCTGTCCTGTCTGTGGATGTCACCATCGCAGTGTGTAGCTCRTGTGAATTCCAGCAGAAATCCATTGTGTATTTCCATGTCCAAAATCCATGGTAACACCTCCAGAGTGCTTCRTAGCTTTTACTAATATCACTTCACTCGGTTTGTTCCCTTCTAGAGCTCAATTCTGCTCACAGTGCTAAAATCACTCCTGCTTCTCTCGATATTTCACTTAATTTCAGAATGATGGTAATTTGAAAGGCTAAAAATGCTTCTATTTTTCTCAATATTTAATTTAATGCTAGAGAATTACAGAGACTTTTTTCCCCAGTTAGGAACCCCTCAGGAGTGTGATGTGGTAAATACAGTTATAAAACATACATTCATTATATTCTCTTCATAAGTTTTACTTGTTTTTAACTGCTGTATTCCAGCAAGATTCCTTTATTTTTTTATGGATAAAGTGGCTCCAAGTGATTTAATTATTATTCAGCACCAGCTTCCTGCAGGAAATTGTTCTTTCAAGTGTCCCACCATGGATCTGTTATTTCTGAGCAGTTGCTTGAGGATAGAAAAGGAACTTTACAGAGTTTTCCATTCTGTTCCCAGAATTCTGAATTCCAGTTGGGGAAACAGCTCACTCTCCTGGCAGCCTGCACATTGTGGTGTTGAAGTTGTTTGAGCTTAAGGACAGCAAGATACCTAGAATATTYGTGTGAAACTTTAGATGTTTATGCACTTGAGCTGTCCAAAAACATACCCCAAAAGCTCAAAATTTTTTTAAGGTTTGTTGTAAAAATTTGGWTTTTTTTAACAAACTGGGGAGTGCTGTTGGTATATTAATACAAAATATAAATCCACCATTTRTACAGAAAACAAGGCAATTGTAGCTTTGTTTTTGAAGCATTTCCAGTAGCTCAGACTTGTGGGATTTTTTCCCTCCCCAGATGTCCTACAGGAGCTGTTCTCACTTAYCTCCCATCTCTACCACAGGTGTGAGGCCGAGAAGCTCCGTGAGGAAAATGCTGTTCTGAAAAACGAAGTGACTTTATTAAATGAGGAAGGCAGCGCYTCCAGCCTGAAACTGAGGGAGCTGAATGGATCCAGGGAAGAAATGAGGTGAGAATTCCATACCCTGTGATGCCTTCAGGCTGTGGCTCAGCCAKGATGGGTTCATCCCTTCTCTTCCAGCTCGTTCATGTGTTAGGCACTCTGCAGATYCCAAATGGGGTTATTTGATGGTGCTGTTGGAAATCCAGCAGGCTGACAGGTTATTCCTCACCCTTTTCCCTTTTCCCAGCCTGTTCTGCCCATTCCCAGAGCCACACAGGGGTTTAGCTGTAGGCACTGAGGTGACCCAGTAACTCACACGAGCACAGGACCTGATGCAATTATTTGTGCTTCAGCAAAGGCAGGGAGAGGCTCATCAGGGAGAGGACAGATTATTCCAGTGGTTGGGTCTTTGGCAAGTGCAGAACCATTTGTGATCCTGGGATTGTTCTTCCCTTCCAGGAAAGCCGCACTTGGGGTACCTTGAGAGGTTGAGCACTTGCTGAATTCATGCACAACAGAGATGATGAATGATAAATAAATAAATATCCACAATGACCATTTCTGGTGGTTAAAAAAAAAAAAAAAAAAAAAACCAAACAAAACAGCCCATTTTTGGAATAATTCAGGCTGGAAAAGACCTCCCAGATCATCAAGTCTAACTGTCCCCCAGCACTGCCAGGGCCACCACTGCCCCATGTCCCCAAGTGCCACATCCACATGACTTTTAAATCCCTGCAGGGATGGGGACTCCACCCCTGGGCAGCTGTGCCAGGGCTGGGCAATGAAGAAATCTTTCCTAATATCCGATCTAAATCTCCTCTGGCGCACCTTGAGGCAATKTCCTCTTGTCCAATCTTGCAGTTGTGTATGTTAGTAATTGATTTTAATGTTAATGAGCTTTTGTTTTCCCAYAGGCAAAAGATTGAGGCTGTGAGAAAGGAGAAGGTGGCTGTGCAGAAGATGGTTGACAACCTGAAAAAGCAGGTGTGTGGTCTGAGCCCAGAACCTTCTCTGTAGAAATCAYCACTGTATCAAAGCTGATCCTTGCATGGTCACAAAGGCAGCAGAAAACAACCATTTTATACATTTGAACTTTTTGAAAACCCTTTTATTGCCTCTTTGGGATTGATTTGAGRTTTGTTTGACCTGCTTAGAAGACAATTGCTGTAATTATCCAGTTTACAGGTTTAACAGCACTTGCACAGACAACTTGGAAAATTTATTTTGTAGAAATATGAAGTTTAAATGTTTTGTTTTGCTGTTTTTGTGTGATTCTCTTGTGATTCAACCTCTATTCTGGCTGGGTTTAGGAACGCTGCCAATTGTATCCATGTGGCTGCTACTTTTATTTTAGGGRTGGTTTCTTATTCTGGATGAAATAGGAGGATTAAGTAGCTTTTACATCCATATCATCTTGATATTGCTTAGGAAAACACCTGCTCAGAATAATCTGCTGGGATAACCCTCAAAATCCACACCAGCACRACAAAGGGGTTGGATATGACTGGTTTAATTAAGTCCAATTAACTGCTTGGAATTGCTGTTGGATTGAGTCTTGTCAGATCTTTAATTACCTTAATAGGAAGAAAATATCCAAAATCTCATTCCTGGTATAAAATCACTGCTGTCCTACTCAGGTGGCGGATCTAAAGACCAGGAACCAACAGCTGGACTCTGAAAACACAGAACTCAGCCAGAGGAACTCCAAAAACCAAGCAGATGTGCAGGATCTCAATCAACAGCTGGCAAGGGTGCTGAAGCAAAAGGAAAGGGAAGAGGGAAAGTGTACCCTGGAAGARTGGGAAAAGGAGAGGCTGCTTCTGAAAGAGGAACTGGAAAACTCCAAAGCAGAGGTACAGGATTGTGCTGTCCCTGTGGGRTGACAGTTGAAATTCTGGAGGCTGYGGAATTGGCATTTCTGTCCTGGGATGGGCGTGGGATTTTAAAGCTGAGCTTTGCTAAATTCTGGCTCAAACACAGCAGCAGCCAAAATGCAGGAGGGAAAAATGTGCAGGTTTGTCTTGAAAAYGGAGCTTAGCAATGCCAAATATTTCCCTGCACTTTCCAGCACAGCTCCTGATCATCCAGTGGCTGCAGCATCCTCTGCTTAACCTCTGGTGCTGTGGAGTGTCCTAAATTGAGAGCTGAGCCTTTTATTTTTTTGCAGTCATCAAGTATGGTGTCATCTTTGGAGATGGAGGTGTCAAAAATGAAGGTTCAAGCTCATCTGCTGGAGCAGGAGAACCACATCCTCAAGCAGGAGCTGGAGAAGACAAAACAGGTAYAGCATCCTGTTATCCAGAGAAGCTGTGGCTGCCCCTGGATCCCTGGGAATGTCCAAGGYCAGGCTGGATGGGGCTTGGAGCAGCCTGGGACAGTGGAAGGTGTCCCTTCCCATGGCAGGGGTGGGATGGGTGAGCTTTAAGGTCCTTCCAACCCATACCATTGTGGGATTCTATTTGATTAATTTTCACCATCACTTAATGGGTGAAAATACAGGGATGGAAATAGTTCTTTTTAAAACCTTTCTTTAAAGAAATTAAGGGAATATAACTCCTCTTGGAACAGTTTSCAGGTGCAATGCACACTTGTTCAGATTGGGTTGGGTTCACTTGGCTTTGCCAAAAGATTTTTGGGAGTAGTGGATCTACAGAGAAGCTTGAGTCAAGATAAAGATTTAGAGCTCCAATAAAGGAATAGACAGGGCAAATGGGATCCACAGAAGACATTTTCCAGGGCAAAGGGGATCCCCAGGAGACATTTCACTGTGCAACTGGAGATAACCCACATTAGCTTTATTTAAGGACTGAGCTCTTCCAGCATGTCCTGCCAGGGAGAATTCCTATTGCTAAACCCATCTGGAGATATCAGACTCTCACAATGTCTGAGGATAATTTCCTGGAGAGCTCAGTTATCTCCTGTACAAGCRCAGTTCAATTGGCTGTAAATATATGCTAATAAACACAGATAATGAAGGCTACAAATGAGTCAGTTCCCTGATTAGGGCTCCACAAAGTCATTTTCTGCACGGTGTAAAACACTCAGTTGAGGCACCCAGTGCTCWGGGTAGATAATGGTCTTAAAAAGSRAAAGCAGCTGAGGCCTATTGAGAAAGGAGTGGATTGTGGCTGGAGTGTAATTACAGGCAGGAGATGGAATGAGGRGAGGCAGTGATAAAGCCCTGGGTCAGTTGGGAAAAGGATCAGAAKTCAGCAGAGCAGTGATTTTCCCTTCCTGTGTTTTAACCCATGGGGATTCTGATGGGAATTTTYTGCAGAAATCYTTCCCTGTGAGGGTGGGGAGGCCCTGGCAAAGGGTGCTCAAAGAAATTCTGGTTGCTTCATCTCTGGAAGTGTCCAGGGATGGCTTGGACAGGGCTTGGAGCAACCTGGGATAGTGGAAAGTGTCTCTGCATATTCCAGGGGGGGCTGGAACGTGATGACCTTTAAAGGTCCCTTCCAACCCATCATGCCAAATTCTGCAACAGCACAGGAATATAACTGAGGGTTTTGTTTCCCACAGCTGCCCAGAGGCCCTGATCTCTCTGACCTTCAAAATGAAGTTTCAAGCTTAATCACTAAAAATGAAAAGCTGCAGCAAGAGAAAGAAGCCCTGAGCGAGGAACTGAACAGATGTATTGATAAGGTAAGAAAGGACTGTAAATCCACATCACTCTGTGCTGTAAAGGACTGTTAAATTCCTCTGTCATTATCTCTATCACCATAACCTGTAAAACCTCTCTGGATATTTTTTTTTCTTACCCTCAAGCCAGATAAAAGATTAATTGCCACTGCCTGKTTTTTTTTTTTTTTCCTAGCTGGTCTTAGAAAGAAAAGCTGTGTTCAGAATTTAAGCTTTACTGTAACTTGATTATGTAGAAAATTCCCAACATTGCAAGGAAGAGAGGCCTGGATAGAAATACTGCAGCAAGACAAGGATGCCAGTGTTCTTGGATTTTTACTGCAGCTCTAACATATGTAGAGTTGAACTGGAGCAGAGCACACTGTAAAYAATAATCCCATTGTGTGGAAATCCAGGGAGCTGAGGGGCTTTTTGCTTTGCTGTGTTTGCCTTCCTTCCTTAGCTTTAACCCCCTCTGGGGTAACCCCTGAAGTCAAATTTAGTCCAAAAAAAAAAAAATTTCTGAGTGAGGATTCCTGATGTAATCTCATTGCAGGCAGCTCAGGTCAGCTGCTTGGAGAGCGCCATCGGCAGCTTGAARCAGGAGCAGAAATCCTGGGAGCAGCAGAGCCAGGCACTGAAAGCACAGCTCAGCATCTCCCAGGACAAGGTACAAACCTGATTTATGTTGTGACCCTGGATAAAAGCACTTTGATCATCTCTTGTAGTGCTTTTTCTCGTGAAAGCCCCCTTGTGATGTCACGCAGCTGAGAGCGGCTGCTTTGAGGGGCGTTCAAAGSGATGTTCTTAAAAGACAAAAGGAAATTTGTTCAACACAGTCAGGGAGTTTTTCTCACTACAGCCAAATTACCTTTGCCAATTCCCTAAAACACTGCAGAGACTCTGCTGTTCTGCTGCAGGCTCATCCCTCCCCAGGCAGGGATGGGATCAAGTGGCTCACAGCTTGGCTGAGCATTCCTGGGGTTTCTCCTTGGCCATGGGCTGCCAGGAAGAATAAGTAATTCAAGGCAAAGCTTCTTTCCAGCACATCACAGTAAATTCTCAGGGCTGGAGATGTTTCTGGTGGATGTTTCTCGTGGCTGTGAGCTTGGAGCACAAAGTTGGAAAATCATTTGGAATTATAGAGTTGAAAGATTGGAAAATCTTGAATCCAACCGTTCACCCAGCACTGCCACGGCCACCACTGACACATGGATTGTCTCCCCACATCAACATGGATTTTAAATCCTTTCAGGAATGGGGACTCCACCTTTCCCCTGGGCAGCTGTTCCAATGCTGGAAAACMCTTTCCATGAAGAAAATTTCCCTAATATCCAATCTAAACCTCCTCTGGCACAGCTTGAGGCTGTTTTCTCTCATCCTGTCCCTTGTTCCCTGGGAGCAGAGCCTGACTCCTTCCTGTCAGGGATGTGTAGATTGATAATTTAACATTTTCAAAGGGAGGTATCAGCATTTTAACTTCACTCTTCCATCAGAGACCCTAAATCCATGGGATACCTGGTCCAGACAGGGAATCTTGATCCAGATTCCTGTGCTTCTGCTCCTTCCAGGTTCAGAGCCTCGATGAAACTCTGCAGAGCACCAACCTCCAACTGTCCCGGCTGAAATCCGACCTGCGGGTGACACAACAGGAGAAGGAAACTCTGAAACAAGAAGTGATTTCATTGCACAAATTGCTGAATGCCAGTGAAAAGGTAAAGAGCTTCAGGGGTCTCTGTAGGTAATTAGAATTGTTGTATGTTGGGTAAAACATGCAGGTTTTAAGCTGATTTTTTAAAGAAGTATTTTAAGTGTTGAACATAAGCACGGGCAATGATCAGTCCCTCTCCTGACTCTTCATTCTTCCCTAAAAGAAACCTTTKTGCCATAAAACCCTCCAAACCTGTGGACAATGTATTAACTTACAACTATCAACTATTAAAATTAGCAAACTTGTCATTGACAGAGGATCTAATTTTCAGTGCAACTTGGGTTTGAAAKGTACAGAATTACACCAACCTCTCAGCTAATAAGGATTTGTAACTGAAGGAGGTTGTAGACAGCARTCTTGGGATTGCTTTTATGGATTCAGCTACTAATTTGGCTTGTTTGCCATGTAATTAASGAATATTTAATGTCCACGTGGAAAAGAGGCTGCTGCAGAATTGTACAACAGGAACTAAATTACAGCTATTACTAAATAATATATAATACTGAGTTCTGTTTGGCTCTGAACAGAGCACAAATTGCTTTTTTTTGTTCTGCTGAACTCCTTGTACACAGCTATTATCCATGATTTTAGCAGAGGGAAGCACTTGGGATTAGGTTTTTTAGGAAAAACTGTTTGGGCTGGGAGGGAGACGGGAATGCTGCAACTTTGGAGTCTGCAGTTACTGAAAATCTACCTAAAACCCACCTGAACAGAGCAAATGTCTGCTTCTTTGTTCAAGGCCTAACCCTGCAATTCTGTCTGTCTTAAGAACCGGGTTCTGGAAGTGGCTGTGCCTCCCTCAGGGCTGCAGGACCAGCAGGGGCCACGGCACTGGGATGAGCTGGAGCAGCCACCGGACCAGGAGCAGAGGCTGCTCAGGCAGGAGAACGAGAGGCTGCAGAGGGAAGTGCAGAGCACTAAAACAGACCTGGCTCACTCCAGGGAAAAGGTAAACTGGGCAAACTGACCCATCCCAGCAGGGTTTGGGGTTGGAAGGGAGCTTTGGAGGTCACTCACACCCTGGTACATAGATCACATCCAGGCAGGTTTTGAATATCTCCAGAGAATGAGACTCTGAAACACTCTTAGGATATTTCTTTCCTTTAGAAGAAAATCCTAATAATTCTTGTCCAAGATTTCAGTCCAACTTCAAGTCAACAAAAAGATTCTTGATATTCCTAACATTCTTYTTGTGCAATTTCTTGGCTCGCAGTATTAAGTGGATTATGGGGAGGAGGAAGGGAAAAAAGGACAAGATGCTTAAAGCTAAAATATCAAAAATACCTCAGAGTTACCCAGAGGAGCTGTGGCTGCCCCTGGATCCCTGGAATTGTCCAAGGCCAGGCTGAACATTGGGGCTTGGAGCAGCCTGGGATAGTGGAAGGTGCCCCATGGCAGGGRATAGGACTGGATGGGCTTTAAGATCCCTTCCAGCCCCAACCATTCTGGAATTCTGAGTCCAAAATGAACTGGTACTTGGTATTTTARATGAAGTGGAATTATCTAAAACATCCTCCCACTGTTTGTTGATCTCTGATCTCTCTAGATCCGACAGCTGGAATCCACAATCCTTTCCCTAAAGCACCAAAAGCATCAAAGCCAGTCAGGGATTGTCAAAGCCATCGAGCAGGAGAAGCTGAGCTTGAAGAGAGAGTGTGAACAGCTTCAGAAAGAGCTGTCATCTGCCAACAGGAAGGTGAGTTTGGGATGGTAAATACCCAAATCAGCTCAGTGGTTTYCATCACTTAAGACCTTGAGAAAAGCTGCAACTTTCCTCTTTTGTTCTGAGTTTTGTTCTCTTTGCCTCTCACAATTCTGTGTCCCAAGGAGCTGACAGAGCTCCTGCTGGGTGACATCTCTTGGAGCAAARCACTTGTCCAAATACTCCTGGTTTTTAGTCTTGAGTTGTCTTGAGATCAATGGTTCATGGGGGGGAAATCAAATAGATGAAATGAGAAACAGCTGCTTTTCTAAGGAAACTTCTTGTCTCTGATAGATCAGTCAGATGAATTCTCTTGAACGTGAACTGGAAACCAGCTCAGAAAATGAAGGGCTGAGAAAGAAGCAAGTCAAGCTGGATGATCAATTAATGGAGATACTTTGCTATCAGATTTGACTGTGGGGTTTTATCAGTGTCTCACTGAATTTGTTTTATTTTAAAAAAAACTTAGAGATGTGTAGGAACAGCGAAAACTAATTGCAACTAGAAAAATTAACCTCTCCTAACRTTTAACCTCATCTTTCATGACTAAGTTGTGTGGCAAGCATCCTTCTCTGAAGCAAGTTGTGCTTAATTAGAATCCATATATGGCTTCAGACAGTCAAATAGCAAAGAAATTTATTTCTGTGCTTGAGGCAAGGCTGCCACTTTCCTTTTCCTTCCTAAAACGTGTCACCTCAGACTTCCTAACTAATATTTGTGTGATGCTCCTCTTAATGTAGAAAACTCTTCTTATTTACTCTGGGAATAATTTGCTGAATTTAATCCTTGTTTTGATCATCATAAAATAATAATTTATGCATCTTGGTGTTAATTTAAAGGCACAAGGGAAAAATTTAGTAGAGATTCTTGCAAAATCTGCTGTAAAAGTTCTGCTGGAGATGGATCATGCTGGATATCAAAACTTAGGAGTCCTTGGTTGTAGGAATGGGCAACTTAACTGTGTTTAGGGTTTCCCATAAGGTCAGCCCAGACCTCCAAGTTGTCTCTCAGCAGTCTTGCTTAAATTTGCTGTCCTGGATTTGAGTTTAAAAAATAATATATTAAAAAAAAACCACAATTTTCACTTGTTCCATAAGTCAAAGCATCTTTTAGATGAGGCTTCTATAACACTTTATAAAAGGCTTTATGTTTTTCATCAGAACAGCAAATGGGAGGCATAATGCTGAAAATCCTACGTAATTCATAATAAAACTGTAAAAATCTAATTAGGAAATGTGAGATTTTGACAAGTTAATGAAAAGTCTGTTTCTATTCCCTGTGCATTTATTTATATAGTCTTAATTAAGCTTTGGGAAAATGCCAAACCCTTAAACCCATAAACACCAAGCTTGGGATTGCATTTTCTCCTGAAATGTGCATTTCAAACTCACAGGATTTTGTTTCTCCTGGTAACCCTTTCCCAGCAGGTGTGTACAACATTCACTTGGTGCTTTGTGACTTCTAACTCTCTCTTTTGTGCCTGTTCTCCTTTTGTCCATGGCTAACSTGGCTAGAACTCAGTGGTTGGAGCTAGCAGAGAAGGGGGCAATTCTCTCTCTGAAATAGTGTGCGAAGGTAGAGCAATCATTTTTMATGTACCACCATAGCATGGAGAAAACATTCCTTTCTTTTTCTTTATGGATTTTTTTTCTTTTTTAATTCCCTGCATCTCTGAAGTGAAGAAGCCACTATTCATTTTAATGTCAATTTTGGACAGGTTCTTTGTGGTTAATGTGCCGTGCAGTGTGGTTYTGTACTCTGAGGAGCTGTGTATTCCCAAGGCATTGCCATGAAAATGGAGAGAAATCACCCCACTGCATCCCAAAATAATTAAAATTGGAAGGGAGAGAATGAAAAGTGGCTTCCTGCTACCCCATTGACTTGAAGGTGTTTGCATATTTACCTCTGGTGCCTGCATGCTTTTCCACCAGACTGTCTGATGTTTCCTGAAATTAACTGATTTCTGATCCCATTTGGCATCATCCTGATAGTTTAGCAAGTTCATTATTGTTCCATTTTCTTCCACAGATGAATGCAGCAGGATTATGTTGTTTTCACTGTTGTTTCATTAGYGTTGATTTTTAAGATGCTGTTAACACTAATTGACTGTCTCCTCATTAGATACTTGTGTGCYTCACAATATGACAGGAACCCTGAAAAAAAAATCCACCAAAAGCTCATTATTTTCACTTTTTCTATAGTCAGGAAAAGAACAGCTCCTTTACAGACAGAACCCCTAAATAGCTTTAAAAAGTACAAATAGTTTTATTTTAAAGTATTTATAAACCTATTTTCTGTCTACCTGAACCAGCAGAGATAGAGATGGTAATGGAGCCAGAAAAGCTGCAACATTGTGAAAAATATTTACAGTTCTAGATGAAGTCAATAACTGAAATTATTCCAATTTGATGTTTTTGCCACTTGTGAAAGGAAAATTAAAACCACCAAGATAATCTTATACACTTATTCCTAAGGGAACAGAGWAATGGTTTTGAGAGGACAGGTGAGAATTTTTCATGTGGCCAACTGGAGGCCTTTATGGGAAGAAATTATTAAAGTTACACAAAGTCCAGCTGCAAATGAGTTTGTCTAAACCATCAGGGATTTTCTGTCTAGTTCTGGTCTTTTTTAAAATAATTAACTACTCGAGTTACTTACTTGGGTTTTACTTTAGACTGGAAAAATTCTGAATTGTTTCATGTGACTGTCTTAGCTGTTAGTATCTCCACTGTTAGTAGTGAACTAGGAAAGATCTGTAGGGTTTTAAATTCTGAATTCTGAATGTGATATGGTCAGAGGTAAATGTTTCTAGTCTTTAGGATGGAGAGAGAACAATCAGCACAACTTCAAGTCTCCCCTGGAAATGGGAAATTCACTATTAAGTGAAAGTTCACCATAGGCCAACTAAACTTTGATAGGAATTCATCAAAAATTCTGTGATTTTTATCATTCAGTCCTAAAATGATGAMTCAAAGCCCAGATTCCTTTAGACATCACAGCTGCATGTGAAATTCCATCTTTTTTCATTGGGAAAAGCTGTCTGTCCAGGCTCCATCACCAAGTCCAGGCTCGTTTCTCCTGCACAGGAGAAATGTGGGAGGGAGCTGTGTCCTGGCAGCAGGAGAAGATGCTGAACACTGTTTTTTTTCCCTCCCCAGATGCTCCAGTCGGGCGGGATGCGTAGCCAGAGCCCGCACTCCCGGGAGCTCCAGCAGCAAGGCTGTGCCACGGTGCCCAAGGAACAATTCCTGCAGCTCCAACACCAACTTCTCCAGGCAGAGAGGAGGAGCCAACGMCTCCAGGAAGAGCTCGAGAGCAGACCCTCGGGGACAAACATGCAGCAGGTAAGGYTCTCCTCAGAGGTGGCAGTTTGTAAAGGGTGTCTGCTTTAGTTGTCTTCATTTTTTTTTTAATTCCAATTAGATCCGTTCTCTGTTTATGCCAGTTCAAAAATTAAAATTCATCCCATAGAGGATTTGTGCAAAAAATGCTATTTAGCATGTTAAGCCTGAGCCAGAGCTTCATTTTGAAGTCCTGTTAATCTTTTTGAGATCAAACCACTCCTACCCACATTCAACTGGCTTTTCTCCTTCTGCTCCATGTGCAATAAGTGYTTACAGGATTTTTTTTTTCTTTATCTAATGTCCATGTCTGGAACTATTATTTTTAAAATACACCACACCAGATATTGCATCCATCACATAAAATCCTAATTTGGGCTGTCACATGGAGTTGTGTCAGTTGTAGCAGAGCAGAACACAAACAAATTAATTCTTTTTTATAAGGTCAATGTTCCTGATTTGGCCATGAGACAAGACACGGTTCCTGTTATACAGAAACTTCAAYGTTGACATTTCTGAGGGAAAACCAATTCCAAGGAAGATTAATTACATCCATTGCCCATGCTGGGAAAAGTCATTTTTAGTGGTGTTTTGATTTTTTACCTTGTAAAAGTGAATTATAGGCAATGGAAAGGTTTGCATCTCCCATATAAAAATTGCCAAATTATCCTTCTCTTCAGAAAGGAATTGGATCTCTAAATCCCTAAAGCTTTGGCTCAGACCATAGGACTTATAATATTGCAAAACTCTATTTTATGAGAAAAGATAAAGCTCAAAACTTAGATAAAATACTAAATATCTATCTTAGATTTATTTACGTTAGATAATCACTTAGATGAGATTTATGTTTAAATTAGATTAAATACTGTTAACTATTTATCTGTTAGCAGAATAAAAAAAAAAACCAGATATCTTAAACTCAGATTGCAGTTTTACTTTAAAATAATAACAAGACCAAGACTTTGAAGCTGAAAAATCTCTGAATATGGTAATAGGGTATTCCAGAAAAAAGGTGTTATGGAGACAGTATAGGCAGTAACCAGTTTTTAAAGTTTCCACAACTTGGAGTAAAAATTCTTCTTTAAGAAAGGCATAAAATCAAACCACTCCCTAAAAAAAAAAAAAAAAAAAGGGACTTAAAAGCAAGCAATTTAAGGTTAAGTAGAAATAAATTGATTATGAGATTACTTTTTAGTAGTGCATCACCCAGGCTGATGTACTTGGTCCCATACCATGGAGAGGAAAATGTGCAGTTGAATTTGGAAATGAATCAAAGCCACATTGCAGCCGTGGCAGCTGCAGATGAATGTGCTGGGGTTGCTTTTGGAGTGATGACTTTGTAATTTAGCTTTTTGAAAGCCTGAGGAACCATCTGCAAACGAGTCACATCCTGGAACTTGGAGTTCTAGAGAYGAATCGCTCCTACATTTCCTGGAAAAGCTTGGTGAATTTAAAAATACTCACAGAGAGGCTTTGCAAATATTCGCTGTAAATGCACTAATGCACTTATCCTTTTAATTTTTTTTCTTTTTTCCTTAAAGTGAGTGGATATTCTGTTTGTAACACCCCTTTTCTCATGGGCTTTACTAGATAACTTTCTAAATTATTATTAAAATCTTGCAGCTATAAACAAAGCCAGATTTATTTCACTTTGTCTCTGCTTTGCTGTTTCTCATAAGCACATCCTGATTTAACCTCTGTTGATTTTTSTTTTGCCRCCCTGAYTTTTTAGGGTTTAACATTTAGTGAYTTTTAGGGTTTAACATTTAGTTGAGCTCATGTCCCTTTTAATGTCCCCTTTAGCACCTTGAAAACTTGCATCCTAATCCCTCTCCATCATCTTTTCACCAGTGAGTACAAGGTCAGGTTATCTCCATGCTTTTTGTGTAAAATTAATTCTTTAGTCCTCCTGCTGCTTTGCATTTTAGGCWGCTTTCTTAGATCCAGTGGAATGAGTTATCCAAAGTTATCCCCTTTAATTTTTTATTTTATGGAATTATTTTGTGTTCATCCTGCTTTGCAGTTTTCATTGCTTTTTGATCCTGGTTGTCTGTGATTTTTCCATTCATTTTACAGTCAGTCCTGAGCTRTTTTCCTTCAACTGCTGCTGTTACAGTTTTAAATCTTCTTAAATTAAATTGAATTATAACTCCTGAGCTGTTTCTACTGTGTTAACCTGTCTGGACTCTTCTGAATTTCCAGTGATTGTTTCTGCTGTGTCCAGTGCTGGGATTCCTACYTTCTATTCCTTGCTCATTAACTGGATTTAGGAGCTCAATATTTCCCMAAATTTGCCTAAAACCAACTAATATTTTTGTCACTCAACTCCCCCCTTTGTAAAGCCCTTTATTTCAAATTTCCAATCACCTCTGACCAGCTACTTGTTCAATCTGAGGSGAAAACAACAAGGTTTAAGGTAGAAATGCAAAGTTTTCAAAAAGGAGGTCAGTTGGGCTGCATTTTTCCCAAATGCTTGGCAATTTGTGAGATTTCATATATGTTACATGAGATTTTTATGTTCAAGATGAGATTTTTAGAGATTAGAGAGGAGGATCATTTCCTCTAAAATTATTGCTTTGCTAACTGCACTTAATCATTGCTGCTGATCTCTTAAAAACCATGGAACTTTTAAAAGTGTAAATACTTTTTAAAGTATTACATAGTACTTGATAATATATATTTTATATAAAGTAAATATATATTTACAGATATATAAATAAATACTCTTTAGAGTGTTTAGATGTAGAAAATGCACCTCAAATGTCCCAGTTGTTTATGTGTGGTGCTAATACCCATATTTAGAGATAAATAAGAAACTCTGCATGTTTTTTTTCTTTGTGTGTGTATTTTTTTTTGTCCTGTGTTGCTTGCTTTGCTTGTATTGGCAATTTTGTTTTTTTTTTTTTGCTTGAAGTGTATGTGTTTTGAAGAAAAACCTGGATATGAGGGTGAAGTATTCCCAACTTGCCTTCTTTCTCTAGGCCTTGCTACCGGAGCAGCGAGCAGTGCATGCAGATTCCTACCGGAGGATCGGGCACCTCTGACACCTCTGGCTGCTTTTGATCCCATTCCTTTTCCATGATAAACACACACAAAAACACATGAACTGGCATAAGCTGAGAAAAACTTGAGGATCAATTTTTTTTTATTATTTTTTTCTAAAAAAAAAAGCAAAAAAAAAAAGTCTCCGCAGTGTTATTTCCTATTTATTTGTCTAGAAGCTATTTTGTGAAAGCTCAGAAGCTCCCAGAAGCTTTTTTTAATTTGTTACAAATGGGTTTTATTTATGTTATTTAAAATGTGCAGCTGTTCAWTGCGGGAAAGAGCCTATTTTTCACAAATGGTACTAATTTTATATGAGATTTGAAGAAAATCCTGGGGTATTTATACTGGGGCATTTTTGTATAAGATGTATAAACTTTTTAACAGGGAAAGATGACATTTTTTTGGATGTAAATGGAAAATAAAATCCTTTTTTTAAACATAATGTCTCTTGTCTTGATAGCATCAATAATTTCAATTTATGAACAAGAAAGCAACATGGTTTTAGATAAAATATTTATCTTTGATATGAGGACTGTTATATCAGGACTTTTGGAAAAAAATTATGGGGGGGATGTACTGGAGTACAGATTCTTGGGTTTCCTTTAGCAGATGGACCTGAAAATTTAAGAAAATGAGAGATCTTCTACTGCTGTGGCCATAAACTAAAAAGACAGTAACAAAAAGGGAAAATTATTGTTCATTGGATAAAATTGCATCACTTCAATTTTGTCTCAAACTACCTGATTAAATTAGAATTGTAACACTTTTTAATAGTTCATCAAAGCATCTTTTTAAAGTCTATGAATTTTTTAGTTGGAGCTGTGAACCATTTCAGCTGTTTGTTTGGAAAGATCTTTTTGYTCCTATTTTTCGTGACCTTAAAGCTACCTGAGTTGACTTATCCCATTAATTGTGAAATAATATGAAAGGAGAAAATTTAAGCCCAAAAAACAGGGATCACAGGTATTGAGACCTCTCTAATTCTTCATTTTCACATAACTACTCACTCAAGACTCCTGCACCCAGTGGGAAGTGGAATAGTGGGTTCCAGGGGTTTGAATTCCAATCAAATTAACATTAATCCAGAAAAATATTCATTCCACCCACACTGTAAAACTGTTTTCTATATAACTGTAATCTTTTTCATAAAAATGAATTATCATATAACCTCATACACAGATTTGAGTTTCTGATGCTACAAAAATGCAAATAAAATGTTGAGTGGGYTTAAATCAATCCCCTAAGGGGTTCATTTTGTAGGGGTTTAGATGAGGAACTCCCTACCTGAAGCAGTTTTTCATTTATCCTCCTCCACAGGTTTGAGGTTTGAATGTGTTTTGTTTTGGGGAGGTTGTTGTTTTTTCCGAGTTAATCTCCTCAAATGAATTCCTAGAATTTAAGTAACAAACATTAAAATAAAGTCTCCATTTTGCTGCAGTCACAGTGTCTAAACTTCTGAATCCAAAGGAGTTTTTTTGTAATTCCTGATATTTTGCATTTATTTGATAAAACTTCACTCAGGTGTTGGTGTGATGGTTTCATGACAGAATTATTATGCTTTTAGTTACTGTCACCTCGCTGAAGAAAAAGATAAAAACTAGTTTAGGTTACAAAAACTAATCTAAAAAGATGTAAAAAATAAACTTTGGGATAATGAAATCCTTTTTTTTAGGCTATTATGCGATTTCAAAGGGTTTTTGGCATGGGAGATTATTGTCAAATGTGACCTTGTAATTTCACCTTATTTTTAGTCTAAAACCAGTAGATTTGCATTTTGTTTCCCACATTCACCAGAAATTTGGCAGCACCAAAGAACAAGAAAAGGAAATTATCCAGCTCTGACTGTCAGAGACACAAAAGAACACAGAATTTTATTTTTCCTTGATCTGATCATTTCAAGTGTAACTTAGACCTGGAAAAACAGTGCAATGCTGAGAATATCCTTTAAGTGTTGCCATAATATTTTGCTTCAGTAAAGGATTTAYTAAAGTTGGCTCTAAACCAGACTGAAGTGTGGAGGGCGGGCTATTTTCTTGAGCATAAACTGGAAAAATAATTAGGCTGGTGAATGTGAACTAATTTTTAACTGATTTTTCACGTAAATATTGCTTTCCAGGGGGGTCATGAGCAGCTTCTAAAAATGATGGAAGAGAGGATGATGGATGTGGAGCAGAAACTAAGGCTGGTGAAGAGGCTTCTCCAAGATAAAGTAAATCAGCTGAAAGAGCAAGTGAGTGTTCCCAGACTTCCCCAAACCTTCCCCATTTCTTCTGTAAACAACAAAATGGGCAAAAGCTGCCAAGCTGTTGTTCAGAATTAAGTTAAAAGGGGTTTTATTTAATGYTTCTTGGCTCAAGTATGGGATATTTGCCCAAAACTTTGTAAAACTCGAAATTAGGGACTGAATTCACAAGTCATTAATTTCTTGAATCAAGAAACAAAAATCAAATTTCGAGCCGAGAATCCTAACTGGAAAAGTTGCTTAAGAAAGGAGGAAAAATAATTTCCTGAAGAAAAAGTCCAATATTGATTTCTTTGATGCCTCCTGCCCTGAATACCTTCTTTGTCTGATGTGGTTTGGGGTTTTTGGAAGTCTCTCTGTGGGATCACTGGKTTTGTGGATGCTCTTGTGCACTAAATTTATCTTTAGAGGGGTAGATGCTGTAGAGTAGAACTGACAAGATGCATTTGAAACCCTCTATTATCTACCCCACCTCCTTAAAAAGTCTTTCTAATCTCAAAATATTTATTTATAAAGACTTTGTGGATTTAATGAGCTGAATGGGTGGGGTTTTCCTTTGATAATTGGGTTATAATTAACACATTCACCTACTTTCCTACCTCCTTTAGTGTTTTAATCTATAATTTTCCAACCCAGCTCTCCAAGAACACAAAAGCAGATGCCATGGTCAAGGATCTCTACGTGGAGAACGCRCAGCTGCTGAAGGCTCTGGAGGTGACGGAGCAGCGGCAGAAAAGCGCCGAGAGGAAGAATTATTTGCTGGAAGAGAAAATTGCCAACCTCAACAGAATTGTGAAGAATTTGGCATCCCCCTCGTTCAGCCCAGCAGCAGAGATAAGGTCATAGCAAAGCTGTTCTGTGTGGCACAGCCCCRTGCACTTTACTGAAATGGGAATATTTCAGCTTCTCACTGCGTTGCCTTTTTTTAACTGAATGAGTTTTGGTTTCAAATGCCTCCCAGGAGAGCACAGAGCTAATTCCCAAACTGGACACTGCCAAATGAGAATTTTGTTTGATTCCAAATTGGTTTTCTGCTAAGTTATGATCACTACGTAAAAAAAACCCCATGTTTTTCTCGGTGGGTTTAATTTAAAATCCAAATTCTGAATTTCCTGTACTGGAYCATTTAGATTGAAGCCAAGGCCTAAAGCAAACTTACATTCTTGAACTCAAAACTTAACTATATTTTCAGCTTTCTAAAATATTTCATGCTCCAAACTTAGAAAAGCTGATGGGTTAGTCTTCAACACTGTCAGCAGAAATTTTATTGGTATGGGCTGTGTCCTGTAAACTGATTCTGGCTTCTTTAAGGCAATTATTCATTAGGATTCTGGGTTGTTCTTCATGGCTGTTTCTCTGCAGAGCTCAGGAACAAAAGTTTATTTAAAATACATAACTAGACTACTGCCTCCAAACTAAGTGTGACAGTATTTCATCTGAGGAAATTTCCCAGCTAGCAAATAAAGACTTTTTTTTTAAAGCTGTGCTGCCAGACAACTCTGAATTATAGAGGCCTTACTGGTTTTGTATATGGAAATAAGTTATACTAAACCAAGGAAGAGTCACTCAACTGAAGCAAATGTGGGAGTTTTGTTTATATGATTYGTAAATTCAGGAAAGCAGTGCAGTATATTTATTAAAGAGCTGGCAAGAAAATGAAGAGAGCACTTGGATGATTTGTCAGTGGGATCCTGTTGTTGGAATCCTCACGAACGTGGAGCTTTGCCACGAATGCAGCATTTCTTTGGACCCGAGGAATCATTTGGAAAAGTCTGTCTTTTGTGTTAATCCTAGTACAGAATCTGTCATTAATTGTGAAGAAACCCATTCATTGTGATTATGAAAAACTCAGGGAATAACAGCCTAAAGCTTCCTTCAGCTATAAATGTGAGTATTAATGTCAGCAGAGGGAGATAAACACACATTAGGGAAAGCAGGATAAACCAAATTGGATTTGGGTGGGAATTACCTTGGTGCTCCTTACCCAAATGCAGAGGAGCATCAAGGTTTGCAGTAAGAGGTGGCAGCTCCTTTTGGATCAGTGGARAAGGCTGGAAGTTTTTTGGGAATTCCTTCAGGACACAGGGGTTTGGCAGAGAACAGCTGGAAAGGGTTTGTGTGTTAACCTTCCCTGCTTMTCTCAGACCAGTAAGACACAATTAAAACACTGCAAATCAAACTGGTGACAGGGGCTGTACTGGAGTACTTGAAACTGGGCCTCTTTAAATGCATGTGAGGAGGSAGAGGAAAAAGTGATAATTCTGTCATGAGCCAAAAGTCCTCCAGGAACTGGGACAGCACTGCCCGCAGGCTGTGGAGGAACCTGTGGAAAATGAGTTTTATTGTGTATTGATGTGGCTGTAGACGATGTTCCCTGTGTCTCTGGGGTTCCTTTCCAATTTTGGAAGGTTTATGGACTGAACTAAACACAGGATGGGACCTTTTTCTCCTCCACTGCTTTGTGCAGGCAACAAARTGGAAATGGGAATGCAATCATGGGAGAGCATCATGTCGGAGAATCAGAGTCCTTATAAATTATTTCACTGCTGTGCTCTTCTAAATGCTTGGAGTAGGGATTTCTCCAAGTCCTCTCAAATTCAAGAGATTTACAGATTTTTTAGAGGCTGTAGAGATATTTTCACAAATTGGAAATGTCTCAAATTTGTAGAAATCTGAGGGTTTAAAGAGCTGAAGGAGTGATTTCTTGCTATTTTCACTATTAATCACCATAAATCTCTGTGYGGGTACCAGGGCTGTGGGAACAGAGCACACCCTAAACCCATGCTGTGGAAAGTTCCAAAATMTCTCCAGGAAACAAAAGAAATGAGGTTCAGAACTGTATTTGGAAAAATATTAATTCCTACTACATTTTAACACTACTTCATACCTTGACCTTGATTTACTTCTGTCTGTGACCAAAGTTTAAAAGGAAGGAATGAATATTTCACTTAAATAATTGTGCAATTACTTTCAGATTGCTCAATTTTAAAGGCTGGACTACTTAACTAATTCCTTTAATCTCCTGGTATTTATGAAGCTTTTATAAACCAAACATACAGACATTGCTAGAGCACAGCACCAAAAAAGGGAGTTGGGAGAAGGGAGAAACAGGGAAAAGGGATTTTTTGGCTTTTCCCTTTCTCTTGTATCCTACTTTGTTCTATTTTTCTTCCACTAAACTTAAAAAAAAAAAAAAAAAAAAGAAAAAAGAAAAAACTTAACTAGAAAAGAGAGGAGGAGGAAAATGTCCTATTGGTAAATATGTTTGAAGCAAAACTCCCAATKTCACTGGARTATTTGTGTGAATGAATTCTCAGAAGTGCCTTTTGCCTTCCTGTACTGTACTGGCTTGCCTGCTACAGGACAATTCAGGACAATCCCTTCCCAAAGGATGGGATCCCAGAGAAAGGCAGTGCTGCTTCCACASGGGTGTCTCGTTGCTCCTTAATTCATTGTGTCAGCTCAGAAGAGAAGCAGCTGTTCTGCRAAGTCCAGGCTACTGAAAATAAGCATAGAAACACATAATTTATTAAGCATTAGCTGTGTTTTGTGCATGAATGTGTCTCCTATGCAGCATAGGCAAAAACCAAAGTATTTATTGTTATTGTTGCAGTCAAAAATCACTGAATTTTTAGGCCTCGTTCATCCAACAGGTCCTGCCATGTCAGATATGAACTATTTCATTACCAGGAGGTRTTTTAAATGTTTTCAACTCTTAATTTATGAATCACTGTGAAAATAAAGGCACATAGACATTTCAGGTTGGGGGGGTTTGGGAGGGGACAGACCCCAAGTTAAATTTAGGTGTACAAAATCCACACAGTTGAAGTGCTACTTGTCAGTTTAGAATGGTTTCCAAGTCTCCACTGTGGTACATTCTCCAAGTAGTACTTTAAACACAAGGAAAGTTGAATTGTTTGAATTCTGATTGGGGAAAGCAAAGGGATTGTAACATATTTGATTTTAGGCAGTTTTTGTGTTAGGTACAGCAGGGGGGGACAGTCTGGATCTATCAAGAGTAAAATCCTTTTGTTTACTTCCAGCAAATGCCATCCCTGTCTCTCAGGTTTTCCATCATTTACCTGTTCAGTCTCCTGGTCGGTGTCATTTCATTACAAAAGACTTCTGTATAAATGAAAACAAATGTATATTTTTTTTTCTATTGAGTTTGTTTTGTTCTGGTGTAATATATTGTCTTTAGAACATCATGTAAAACTGAGAGATGAAACAACTTACACATTATTTATAATGAGCATAAAAAATACATTAATGTATGATGCATATTTGTGTCTTTTTTGTTTTTCATCCAACATGAAAATCATAGAATAATTTGGGTTGGGAGGGACCTTAAAACTCATCCAGTTTCACCTCCTCCCATGGGCAGGGACACTTTCCACTATCCCAGGTTTTTCCAAGCCCTGTCCAACCTGGCCTTGGATGTTTCCAGGGGATGGAACAGCCACACATTCTTCTCCCAAGGATGTTGTAAATACTTCAAGCAGTATCTGCAAATTTATCAAAGGCATACATGCTAAGGAAAAGAATGGATTGACAGCTCAGAAAAGTCGTTTCTTCCATTATAAAAGCATGAAATTGATTAAAGTGTAAAACACTGACAGTGAACACACCTTGGCATATTTTTAACTGAAGTTGCATCTCTGCTCTTCATTATATGGGAAGTATTGAGTGCTTGTTGCAAGCCTTTTATAGGATCATGGAATGGGAAAGGCTGGGAGGGAAAAGTGTGGGTTCAAGATCCCAGGACAATGCTGTGTCCAGTTCTGGGTCCCTCATAACAGGACTTTGAGGGGCTGGAGCATGTCCAGGGATGGGAATGGAGCTGGGGAAGGGTCTGGAACACCAGGAGGGGCTGAGGGAGCTGGGAAAGGGCTGAGCCTGGAGAAAAGGGGGATCAGGGGGGATTTGGGGCTCTGCACAACTCCCTGACAGGAGGGGACACCGGGGGGATCGGGCTCTGCTCCAGGGAACAGGGACAGGAGGAGAGGGAACGGCCTCAGGCTGGGCCAGGGGAGGTTTAGGTTGAATATGAGGGGAAATTTCTTCCTGGAAAGGGTGGACAGGCACTGGAAAGGGCTGCCTGGGGAGGTGGTGGAGTCCCCATGCCTGAAGGCATCCAAGGAAGGCCTGGACGTGCCACTCAGCGCTCTGGGCTGGGGACAAGGCGGGCATCGGGCACAGACCGGATTGGCTGATCTCGGGGGTCTTTTCCAACCTGAAGGATCCGGTTATTCTGTCACTCTGTTATTCTGTCACTCTGTTATTCTGTCACTCTGTGATTCTGTCTCTCTGTGATTCTGTCTCGGTTATTTCGCCATTTCTGTCACCCGCGCTCCCTGAGGGGCCGCGCCCTCCCCGCCGCACGGTGGCGCTGTGGCCGCGCCCCCTCCCCTGCGCTGCCCCGCGGCTCTCCCGGAGGGCGGCGGCCGCCGCTTTCCCACAACCCCCCGCGCGCCCGCCGCGTCCCCTCAGCGACCCCCGGCCCGGCCCGGCCCGATCCCCGCGGCGATCCCAAACCCCCGCCCGGTCCCGGTCCCGGCACGGCCCCCGGGGGCGGCCGGACCCCCCTCCCCGCCCTGCGGAGCGGGGAGCGGCGCCGGGCATGCGGGCGGTGGCAGCGGGCCGGGAGGTGGGATGCTGTCGCGGAAGAAGACGCGGACGGAGCTCTCCAAGCCGGGCGAGGTGCAGGGGAAGTACGTGAAGAAGGAGACGAGCCCGCTGCTGCGGAGTGAGTGTCGGGGGGAGCGGGGGACAGCGGCGTGGGGCTCCGGGGGGCCCGGCCCGAGGCCTTTGTGTGCGGCCCTGGAACTGCGCGGCCTTGGCGGGCTGAGGGGTGGGGGGGGGTTTATCTCTTTGGGTGTATATGAGGGTTATTTCTCCGTGTAAATGGGCGTTTAATCCTATTGTGAGCCCTGGGAGATGACGGAGGGAACTTAGAATTGAAAGGAAGCCCGAGTTTCAAAGCGAGCACTGCACGCGTTTTTTCACCGGGTGCTCACTGTTCCCAAACTTGGTGGGTTTTATGATTTTCTCGGTTTCATCAGGCCGGGGTTCAGGCATTGTTTTACATGAAATAAAGGGATCCCAAGGTCAGGTTGGATGGGGCTTGGAGCAACCTGGGATAATGGAAAGTGTCCCTRTGGCACRSATTGGACTGKWCGAGSTTCCCGACGCCCTTCCAACCCAAACCGTTCTGCGATTCCGTGATTCCRTRACCCCTTTGTTTCCACAAYGAAGTGGKGKTTTTTCCCCATCTGGGCACTGTGCTTTGGGGATGAGATAACTGTCCCGCCAGGCARTTGCATAAAATCCCTGCGGAAGCGAATGCTCCAGGTCCTATCCRTGACTCAACCTGGTGAGGTCACCTGGGATGCACGATCTTCCCGTGTGCTCCTAGGACTGGACAAAACACCACAAAAACGCACCGAAAGTTCACTTAAGTTTGGTTTTGTTGATCTTTGAAGATAATCCGAGATTGAATTGGATTTGTTTACACAATAAATAAATTAATAAAGTTACTATTGATGTCTTCTGGGGTGCACCAGATTTTTACCCTAAGTTGTAAGTTTATTAWTAAAGAGTAATTAATAATAGGTGTAACCTTATTCTGAATTAAATTGATCATTTATATTTATTCATCTGGAGGGAAACTACTTATTTATATCATGTTGAAAGTAAAAATAGGGAGAGGAGAAATATTTCACTTACTGGAGGGAGGCAGCGAGATTGTAAAGGAGAAAGTGAAACATTTCCATGATAATTTGAGAACTTAACGTGTATGGAATGACAGCATTTTTCTGGCTGAACTTTATGACTTTGGGATTAGTAGGGGCAGTGTGAATTCTGTTTCTATCGTGAATTCCTGTGGGCATCAACATCTTGTCATTCCCAGTTTGTAAGGACAACATTCCCAATGAAATAGTAGCCAGGATATTTGGATTTTCATGACCCTTCTCACAGAGAGATACGAACCCTGACTGATGTAGCCACAGCACAGTGTGGTGTGGGTGGTTTGGGGTTATTTTTTGCTTATGTGGTTTTTTTKATGGGTTTGGGGTTGGTTTGTTTATTGTAGCTGCAGTTTTGCTGGCGAAACTGCTCTGTCCTGGCACCGGTGTGCTGGTTTCTGATGCACCAGGACGCTCTGCCCACAAATTCCTCAGTTTTAGGGTGAAAATTTAGGGTGGATTGTTGGATACTTGATGTGTAAGTACAAGCAGAGTTCTTAATTCCCTTCCGTGCTCTTACCAGATCTGATGCCTTCATTTATCCGGCACGGTCCGACCATTCCAAGACGAACTGATATCTGCCCTCCCGACACTGCATCCTCTGCCTACACCCCCGGGGCAGATGGAATCGTTTCCAGGAACCAGAGCTTCCTCCGAACTCCGGTGCAGAGGCCGCCTCACGAAATAATGAGGCGAGAAAGCAACAGACTGTCCGCACCCTCCTACCTTGCCCGGAGTTTGGCCGAGGTGCCGCGGGAATACGGCTCCTCCTCGCAGTCCTTTCTTTCGGAAGGCGGTCCCGGGCTGGAGAACGGCGACACCGGAGCCCGCGGTTATTACTACGATCATTTCTACGACGCCCAGAGGAGACGTCAGCTCAACGACCGCCTGCACGAGGACTACAACAGGTATTATGAACACAACAGTGATCTTTTCCAGAGGATGTCCCAGAATCATGGGAGGCACACTTCAGGTAAGAATTCGGTGTTGTTTTATTTAAAAATACGGTTTTGATGAGCGTTCAGGTGCATTGGTGCATCTGGAATCATGTTTGAGGTGTGTGGGACAGAGCTGCTTTTTCATGGCATTTCTRGGATCTGAGTAATTAAAATTGAAAGTTGGATCACACTTATCCAGAAGGGAAAAATAGACTTAAACCAGGATTTTTTTTTTAAAGAAAATGGAGTAAGATCACCAAGTTTCAGATTTTTTAATGCCAGGCCTGTGTGCATCTCTACATTTTAGGAATTTTATTCATTGAGAGACATCTRTTTTCATGATGTAGAAAATAACCAACCGCTCTAAATTATAACATTGCAGCATTATTATCATTAAATTTTAATTAGCATCTTATTATTTAATTTGATTGTTTGAATTGACCTCAGTAATTAAARTAATTTCCTATAAATGGCCAAAGTGAAGAATGACTGCTTTATTTGTATAATTAGCAAATTGGCATCTTAATTAGTGCTGAAGTTGACTTCCTAGTCYCTGACTCCTTTCTTTTAGCTTTTAAAATTGTTTGTAAATATGCCTGTTCTCCCCTTAGTTTCACTGGAACTTGCCTTTGTTTTCTGTAGCAGAATAGCATAAGAAGAATCCATTAAATACAACTTTTCTGAAATACTTGATTCTGGATTTGCTATTATAAAACTATGCACAAGGAGTAGCTTGAAACAAACGTTTCAAAGCTGTAAATAACGTACCTTCAATATGAAATATGCTGTCATCTGCAGTCTATAAACAAAATAGTAATTAGTGTCTAATAAAATTAATCTCCTGTCTAGAAGAATAAATCTGCCATGAAGAACATCAGCTTCTAATGCTGCTGACCTTGTGTGTGGGGTTAGAACCTATCAGAGCTTTGTGTTTTCTTCACTGCAGAAACACTTCCATGAAAARTGGAAATGCCCACCAGGAAATTCGAAATACTGGGGTTTAAGGCCTGCTACTTTGATACTCCTTTATTTTGCTAAATGTTAATGTCTGGATTTTGTGTGCAAGCTCTTCATGTTCTCATCCAAGTCATTAAACGTGTATCTGGTWACAAGCACCTGGTAGTATGTGCTGGGATATTTTAGAGAAGAGAGGTAGGAGGAGAGGATTTTACAAAACAATCCATCAATTCAACTGTCAAAATTACTGCAGTAGCTGTGTCTTCTGAGGAGATTTCCARAAATGCAGCTCTATCTTCAAAGTGRAGYTTAATATATCAGATTTTTAAAAGAAGGGCTCCACAACCATATTTTGCACAGTTGTAGCAACATCTTCTTTCTAAATAGGTTTTTTTTTTCCTACCTGTGCCCCCTTAGCCGTGGAAATCATTAAGGAGCTGCTGCTGTTTGTTTGGTTTTGTCATTCACTCTCAGATTTTAACAWTTCATAGTTTGTACAGTTTCTACACAGGTTTTGTGGTGGGTGAGTATTTAATCTCATGCACTTAGAGGGAGAGACAAAGGTGAGCCTTTCAATTGCCAGTGTTCCTCTTTTCGTCTGGTTTTTTTTCATCTCCATATGAACTCTTAAAGTCCTCTTTTCCTTTTTCTTAAAGAATTATGTGCCCCAAAATAAGCAAACTAGATTTTGTTACTCCCTTCATTTCACCATTAAGCTGCTTTTTATTTGAACCATCCATTGCCTTCAGTGTTTTCTTTGATTTACCCAAATCTTTCTGTAGTTTCTTGTTTCTTTTTCTTGCATTTCCACAATACTGAGCCTGTTGCTTTCWCTGTCTTTGTCTAAATTACTTTTTCTTTACACATCTCCATTGTTGCTTCTCTTCATTGAGATAATTGATGGCRAAGTTGCTTAATGGCTGCAGTTCCAAATGAAAAGTCTGTTTATGAGCTGGAGTTTGTAAATGCTGCTTTCTCCCCTTTCCTTCCTGTCCCACCTTCCCATCAAAGTCCCCCTTGGTCAGTTCTGGTGTGTTTTGGGTGGATTCCTAAGGAAATGTTGCCTGGTGAACACAAGGTGTTCTTGCTTTGGTGTTGTTTCATGGTGGTCGCATTGRGATGATTTTTGGGAAGCTGCAGACTGGAAGTGCAGAGGTGCCTGTGAATTTCAGCTTTCATTCAAAATAAAGATTCTCCTCTTTGTAATTTGGAGAGAAGTTTAAAACATGTTCTTGTCRAGACCTTCAAAGTGTTCAGAAAAGTCTTTAGGGAAGTCCTGTGGTGTTTCAGCAGTTGATGTTTTAGCATTGCCATGTCCTTCCATAGGCATTTCTCCTTGAAGTCATGTTTTCTCTCTCACTATGCTTCACTTCTACTATGTGCTCCTTTCCATATTTTCATTATGTTTGTTTCTAATTAGCAATTTAGCATTGCTGATTTCCCTGCCCAGTGTTTTCAGTTGAGATATCTCCTAATTTTGTATGTTTAGCTACCTCTGTGACATTTCTTAAATTTTTTTTATTTTAAATTTTTTTTTAGTGTCCTTTTCAAACTTTTAATTCTAAGAGACTTTACCTGTCTTTCCTCGCCATCTCTTTCCTCTCTTCTAGGTTAAAGTTTTGGGGAGGTCTGTGGTTGAAGTTATACCTACAGTGTAGATTGGAACTAACTTGTAACCAAGACCTCAGAGTTATTTGTACCTGTGTGAGCGGTAAGCTGAAACATTCTTCTGTGTCTATGAAAATTGCTGAGCTTGAAATCACGCTGTGAAGGCACTTTCTGGTGGTGGATTGTGATGAGTTCACTGGGATGTCACAGGAGAGAAACAATTAACAGAGAACCAGCGTGCTTTTGGTTTGTCTGTTAAGTTGTACCCTTTCAAAACTGCAGTCTTGTTTATTATAAGAGCAAAATAAATATAAATTATGACGTGAAACCCATTTAGAGCTAAATAGCTGGTTTTTTATTATTCTGTGTGAATGCTTCTCTCATTTTTAAACAAACGGCAGCTCCTGCCCTTATCTTGCCTTGTGCTGATTTTGCAGTAATTTTGCAGCATAATTCTTGAAGCTTTCAGAGTTCTTCCTGTCATTTCCTATTTGTGAATTTGTGCTTGCTTGGAACACCCCATTCCCACCAACAAAAGTGGTGCTTGTGCTCAGGAAGTTCCTTTAGATGCTTTGGAGTGGGTTAGGAAGGCCTGGGACCTGCAGTCCTGCCTACAGGATAGTTATTGGTACTTTTTGTTATTTTATTATTACTTACTCCTTCAAAATTAAACAGTTTGTTCATCTTCTCTTCCTGCTCTTCACCCCCKTTTGATGAGGGGAAGGGAGAGGATTTTGGCATCCTGAAGAAAGGCTCGTAAGACAATTGGGCTAATTAAAGATAAATACTGTTTTGTAAGATTTGTTCTTCCACACTTTGAAATTTGGGTGAAGCCACTTGTGGGGAGTTCCTGGGCTCTGAAATTTCTCTGCCAACATCAGGGCATTTCCTACCAAAGTGAAACTTTCTCCTCTGGTTTTGCTCTTTATGTCAATGATGGAATTTCTCTCCTGTCCTTCCCACCTGACAGACTGAAGAACTGCCCTTTGCTGGCCTGGAAATCTTTCCTGCAAAGGGCTTGGACTTCTTTCCAGGCAGGGGCCCCTCAGAATAAACCCCTTTTACTGGGAAAACAYTGACATCACTTCCTTTCTTCCATCCTAAAGAAACCAAACACGACTTCCTTGAGTGAACAAAACTCTACAGATTGTTCACACTTGTGGRTTTATTGGTTTAAAACACATTTCTAAGAGAAGAAACTCCTTGTATTGATAAAGTGCACTGGAATGTGGTGTTCAAAGATCATTAATTCAAGATTTTGCATTGAAAATTTAAAAAATGGAAGGAAAATTAAAGCCTCAAATAATTTCAATATTGATGTTTTTTAAAAGCAACATCTGAACAAAAAAACTCATTATATATTATATTGTAAAATACCATCAGAAGCAGAATTACCAAATGAACCTTGACAGACTGTAAAGAGRCATTTTGAAAAGTTTTTACAAGTGCATAAATTTAAATTAATTCATGATCATCCTTGAGATTTGATGATGCCACTCCAGAGAGTGCTCGTCCTTAAGCAGAGGACAGGAGACATTTCAAAAAAGTGGATAATTTAAACAACTCTGTTTCTTGGGAAAGCAGGAAAAATGAGAATTTTTGTCTTGTTACAGCTAAAAGAGGGTGTGAACAAGAAAACTCCAGGAGTTACAGTGAACTTGTTCCCTTTATCCTGTGGTAGGGATTGTATCCTCCATCCCAGGAAAATCCCAGGTTTTACACTAAATGTTTGTATAAAAACTGTTCAGGTTTTATTTTTGGGATACAAATCTAGCCAATATCCCTGGTGCTTGCAGGAAAATCCTGTGTGGAGCTTTGGGCTGCTGTGAAAATGCTTTAGGGCTCAGATTTTACCTGGAATTTAAACACAATTCCTGGCAATTTGCCATGGAAAAAGGCAGTGTTCACAGTCCGTGGGTTTAGGCTGCCTTGGAACTTTCTTCTTTGGGTAAGATCACATAGGAATTTACTCTTCCAAGTGTTGTTTAGTCTTATTGATATTTATAGGAGTATATTTATATTTATATGAAAAAGTCAATTTTCCTCTTCTCTTACTGTTCAAAACTATAGGAGGAACTTTTCCTCTTAGTTGTGTGTCCATTCACCCTCTATCTGCTGAGGTTTACCAGGAAAACTAACAATTTCTTTCAGTCTCTAAAAAAACATTTTATAGGAAAAAAAATGCCTAAATTGCATTTATTGTTAATTTTCATGCCATAGTGGGTTGACAGCTTTGAGGCCCTATCAACATCAACAACTTAAAACTTCCAGCACAGAGAATATTCCAATATAGTCTGTGATTTAAGGGAAAAAATATGGTTAAAACCATCAGTTTATAAATCTGCTCTTGATTTCRTGTTCATGATACACTTCAAAACTGRTAACTTCTACATCTGCAAAAGTTTATTTTAATGGTATGGCTCTGCATCTTCATATATAAAATCAAAATGGCAAAAGGAATGGATAAAATATTTGTGGTCTGGTGTTATTTTTGTTCTTTACATCTTGGAAATTAAAAAAAAAATAATATAAACTGGTATTGGGAGAATCCATGCGTCAAGAAAACTTCTTGTGCTAGGATGGCACCTCCTCCAAATGCTGGGAGACATTAACCTTTACCCCAAGGAATAAATGTAAATATCTATGGATTTGAGGCTTGAATTTAAATTGGAAGAACTGTAAGAAAAATACAAGCCTGTGCAGGTTTTAACAGCAAACAAAAATAGGGATTTTTTTTTTTACCCCCCCAGTCAAGTTTGTGTGTTCAGATCTCCCGGCAGTGTTGATGTAACAGTCACTATTTATACATCCATGAAATTACAACCCAGCTAATTGGGGAAAATCCTGGATTTGTTTATCCCAAGCTCAGCRTTTTCAAGAAGCTGAAATGTTTGTATTTATCAAACTTCAGTAGAGAGGGGCTGGAACTGCTTCCCTGCCCCAGTTCTTCCAAAGGTCAGGGAGCCTCCAGGATATTTCTTTTCTCTGGAAGTAAAGATCTGGGTTTCAATCCCAATTAAAGATGGACAAAGCCATCAGCTTCCCTTTACAAATAGGTAAGTACTGAAACAAGAGGAAATCCTTTAAGGCCAAACAGTTCAGAACGTGACAAAGCTGGAAAAGGATTTATGGATGAGCACAGAGTTTTAAAAAACAGTACTCAGGAGGATGTTTGTGACGGGGGTTTAATTTATTTTTTATTCATCTATTTGTTTTGGAGCCTTCCTGTAGCTTTATTTTTAATTATTGGTATATTTTGTTAGGAAATAGCCCACCAAGGTTTCAGGCTATCATTTTAGATGAGARAGGCTCTGCTTTCTCTCAAAAAATAACCACACAAAAATGTTATTGCTGATAAACAGAAGGAAAGGGGATATTCCTGTCAGTAAATGTGTGTGTTGGGGTGATTTCTGACTTCTAAAAAAGTGGGGAAAATGGCTCCCAATTCCTTCTGCTGGCTCTGGGAAATAGTAACACAAACTTTGGTGGTAATGGGATTGAATAAATGCATTTGGTTGTGCGATTAAAAGATAATTGGGATTTGTTTAAAACCAGAGAGTGTTTAAGTGTAGAAGTGTGAGAGACTAAAGGGAACTACTTCAAATGATTTTTAAAAGATAATTGAATTTATCCCAGCACACCCAGAAGGTAGCAGATTCCCAGGAATGGAAAGAAACCTGCAAAATTCTCGGTTGTGTCACTTGGTTTTTGTAGTTGAGTGTCTTGGGGATGGTTTTAGATGAGTTTTCTGGAATTGCTCATGGCTTTTATTTCACCCAGTGTCCCTAGGAAGGGATGGGAAAGGAACTGTTCCTGTAGTACCTTTCTCACCATCCAGCTAATCTGTAAAAACTCCGTGTGTGTTACAAAAGATCACATATTTCCAAGTGCTAGGGAGCAATCTCTTAAATTCAGTGATGGATAAATCCCACGTGTGCTCTGTTTCCAGGRAAATGTGGGAATTTAATCAGCTACYRATTCCTGTCAGCTCTTTTATCCCAGCCCTGCTTGTCCCTYCTCTCTTGTTTTACCTCATCCTGTTGCTGTTCTTGACTGGTTCACCTGCAAAGCTTTGTTGGGATTCAGTGATTTCCTGGATATTTTAATTTCTGACTGTAGCTAGAAAAATAGATGTAAGGTTTTTTTGTTTTTTTTAAATGAAGCAGCTGTAATAATTTATTTTAAAAAATTAATTTCTGTAAATCTTTAACCACCAATCTCCCTCTGTTTTAGGCATTGGGAGAGTTGCTGCTACATCTTTAGGAAACTTAACAAATCATAGTTCTGAAGATTTACCTCTTCCTCCTGGCTGGTCAGTGGACTGGACTATCCGAGGAAGGAAATACTACATAGACCACAACACGAACACAACCCACTGGAGCCACCCTCTGGAGCGGGAGGGGCTCCCTCCGGGCTGGGAGCGCGTCGARTCCGCCGAGTTCGGGGTCTACTACGTGGATCACATCAACAAAAGGGCTCAGTACAAACATCCCTGTGCTCCCAGGTGAGCCTCCCCTGCTCTGCTTGTGCTTATCTTAGTGCACTTAGCTGGGTTTTAGCCAAAAGTTATGTTTTCAGCTTTGCTGGTTTTCAGGAAGATTTTTAGAAGTTTTAATTGTTGGGGTTTTGTCTCATGTTTCTGAAGTTTACAGTCAGGATATTGCTTGTAAATCACACAAAGCAGCTCTTCAGCTGTCARTAAAACAGCAAAGTTGCTGAGAACAGAATTAAAATATAAACTGAAAAGAAACTTGATCTGACGTTCCTGGAGATGCTCTGAACATCTGAAACATGTATTAAGTCTTGTCTGGAATGAAAATTGGTATTTTAGCTGCTCATTTTCAAGGTAAAATTAAAGTTGATACCCCAAATCCAACAGTTAATTGTTAATATACACCAAATCTAACAGATAATTGTTAGTATACACCAAATCTAACAGTTATTTGTTCATATACACCAAATCTAACAGTTTATTCTTCATATACTCAAAATCAAACAGTTAATTTCTGCTGCTCTATCTGCTCTGCTAATACCCAGGAAGAGAAAGTTCTTTAACTTGTGGCACAAAAAATAAATACATGGGGATGTCTTTATATGGAATAACTCTGATCAGCTGCTGCCTGAATACATTTATTCCATCATGTTAAATGGTGGATTATATGAACAAATATTTTTTGAACATTCTTTAAAATTATACGAATCAATACTTTTTGAACGTTTTTAAAACAGCTCCAGTGTTTTGTTGTGCTCTGGTGAGTGGGTCTGAGGTGAATTTTACCAAAATAGTAACAGCAAATTGCTCAGTGCAGGCCTGCTGAGGCAACACCCCACGTGTGGTTGCACCAGCAGCCTTTGCACTTATTAATGAGTGGATAATRTTAAGAAATGAATGATTGCAGCGTGCCCAGTGTGTTTGGAGGTGACAGTTTTCCCCATGTCCCTTGCAGTGTTCCCCGTTACGATCAGCCACCCCCTGTGTCCTACCAGCCACAGCCTGCGGAGAGGAGCCAACCCCTGCTGGTCCCTGCCAACCCCTACCACAGCGCTGAGATTCCTGACTGGCTGCAGGTCTATGCCAGGGCTCCTGTCAAGTGAGATTCTGCCTTTTTTTCTTCTGCATTTCACACTGAAAATGAAAAAAAATTGAATTCCCACAACTGAGGGTAGAGCTCGTGCTCTGTCTGCTTTTTAGCTGCATCAGGGCTGTTCCTCACAGCTTYAGGGAGTTGTACCAAATATTCATCACATTAATTTTATTTTTGTTTCAGCTATTACTTAAAATGATCACTTCTTGCAGCTCACACAAGTTGCAGAAAGCTCTGTCAGTGTTCTGTTTTCAGAATATTTACAAGAATGGTATCACGTGTTTAGAAAATATGTGAAGCATTTTTAGGGTGTAACTTCCTCATGACTAATTTCTTTTTAAAAAGCACAACTTTTCTTTCACCTTTAAGAATTTTAGATGATAKAATCATGGAATGGTTTGGSTTGGAAGGAKTCCCTCTCCAGCTCTTCTGGATCCCCTTTAGGCACTGGAAGGCCAAACACAGGCTGATATCTATATTTTGAATTTAAAACTAAGTGGTAATAAAAAGTCATTTTGTCAAAGTGCTACAGGAACAGGAAGTCTCCTTAAAAAAAAAATATTTGAGTCAGCATAAAGAAATTAGATTTTCTAATGGCTGCAWCTGTGCAGAATAGTAACATTGAATAGAAAGCAATAAAACCCCCAAATATGGTTAAATAATTATTAAATCATGTACTATTCATAAGGAGAATATGGAGAAATTCAGTTTTACAGCAGCGAGGTCAGTCTGGAATTGCAAATTCAAGCTGTGATGTTCAGTGACTTCCATTAAAAAAATTCTCTTTTTTTATTACCTGCTTCTAATAACTACAGTTTGAATGAATTTTATTACTTCTTGTGACTGTTGGGTTTGCCAGCAGCCCATAAAGATTTAAATTGCCCTAAAATCCCCCAATACATTGAGGCTCCAGGGCCATATTTAGTTCCTGTAGGATTTGTTTCCTAGAAATATTTCCAGGTTTTGGCTGCAGCTGCATTTTTTTTATTTAGGTCTTTGGCACTTCCAGACAATTTAATTTTAAACATTCTAGCCTTTGTTTTGTGGATTCTTTTGGATACTTGTCTTGAAACTTGTGAAACAGATATAAGACAAATTCCTCAATTTGTCAGGGATTTCTTTATATCAAGTAAGCTGAGACAAATTTTTAAATTTTTAATTATCAGCACAGTTTTGCATTTAAATCATTAAGTTTATTTTGTTACAATTTTTTACTTATCCCTGGCACTGTAAATCGATTTAGCTATAAAGCCCAGTTGTTTTGCTGAGAAAAGGAGATAATTATGGCAAAAATAAGGAACTTTAGTATTTGTCTAAATTTGAACAAATTTCTCCAGAAAATAAGAATTTTGGCCACTGGAAAAGCCCAATGAAGCATTTAGTAGTTGCCACCTAAAATATTCTGTCATTGTAGGAAAAAATCCTCCCTGTGAGGGTGGGGAGGCCCTGGCACAGGGTGCCCAGAGCAGCTGTGGCTGCCCCTGGATCCCTGGCAGTGCCCAGGGCCAGGTTGGAAATTGGGGCTTGGAGCACCCTGGGACAGTGGGAGGTGTCACTGCCATGGCAGGGGTGGCACTGGATGGGTTTTGGGCTCTCTTCCCTGAATTTTGTTTCCCTTGAGGAATCCTTTTCCCATTTCTGGGCATCTGAGGTTTTGTTTGGAGAGCCCAAGTGCAGCTCTCAATCTCATGATGCCATCAAGACTCCAAAGTTGATTTTCACCCTTGGCTCAGCTCTCACATGGGATGTTTCACCCCCTTCCCAATCAGGTATCCCAATGTGATGAGGGTGAACACCCCAAAATTCCTTCCTTTTAGAGATCACAKGGYTCAGATTCCTCCTTACCTCTTTTGRAATCTGGGATCCAAACCCAGGACTTGGTTCTCCCAGCCCTTTCCAACAGGGTGTCAGAATTGAGGGCAGATCAGTGTCTCTTGTGCTGAAATTGTTCTGTTTGTGTTAAATCCWTGGTGTCCACTGGGAAGGCTCAGGGGATGGGATATTCTGGCTGCCTGTTCTGCTCCAGTAACCTCCTGTTCTCAGCCAGGGATTTATTTGGCTCTTGAGGAGTGGGAAATGAGACAGGGGAAGGTGTTGTCCATGGGAACTCAACAATCCACAGGTGGTTGTCCCTGGAAACCTTCAAACCCCTCTCTGTCAATACAGGGCTCAAACTGCAAACATCTGCAATTTGTTATTTCTCCTTTTCTGGGGAAAAAAAAAAGTGATTTTAGCAGTGCAGCCCTGTCAGGATTAGGGATAACTTCACTACAAAAGCTGGTTTTTAGGAAGTTTATAGAAGCTGTGATTAGTTTTATTTAAATTCTTAAAATTCTTCAGCATCTTTGGAAGTTGCCTGCATATCCTGGTGCTTCTCTGATGCCTCTGGAATGTGACTTTCAGTGGGTTTATTTCTATAAATTCACTGATATTTTGCTTCAACCTCCACCCAGGTGAATCCATCTTCTCCTGTAACTCAGCTGCACCAAATAACTCCTTTATTCCATTAACTTCTCCTATTCTCYAATAATCAGAGTAGTCAGCTCCCARTTTCCAYGCTAGGAAAATTAATTGTGATTGTAAGGGGGGAAAGCAGGAAAGGAGGGTTATTGCAGTGAGGGTGGAACCACACCAGGGCTTGCAGTAAATACCTATTGTAGATTATTGCTGCTAATTAATCAAGAGGGGTTAATTGGAGAGGTTAAGCAGCCAAGAGCACTCRTTACAGCTGGATTGGGAACAGTTGTTGGGCCCTGTCCCATCWTCTGGGAGGTACCTGCTGAGCTGCTGAAATCATCCATTTTTCTGTGTTCCTGTAGTTTTACCAGATGGTTTATGGTGGATATTCCAGGT